CTGGTTCACGTTTTCAAGCGATGAACGTTGTCACCGATAAAAAGGAGAATATGTCTGATTTATATCCGAAATGGAAAAAAGAAACGCGTCTTTAACCCTCGAATGTAATGTTGATTTTTCCTCCTTGTCATTTTTGATCAAACATTTCGAGATTACACGATTCAAAGACAGGGAAGACTAACTTGAATGATTTATCTCGTTTTCTTGTGTGTCTTTTTACTTAGGAAGACAGCCAAATAGCTATACTGTACACTTCACCGATACAACAGCGGTGAAGAAAAATTTTGGCACAGGTTTAATAGGAAAATTGAATATAAATTAGTAAAAGACGAGACTCTTGGAAAGGACATCTGATATTACGTCTTTTACGACTCCAGGCTATCATTTTCCTGATCTTTCTCTGAATATCATAGTTCGCTCACACAGATCAAAGAATCTTAGATTCTAGAAGCATAGAATTACCTAATTATTAACGGAGAGAATCATCTAAATCTACTAATGAAAGTCAGTCTCGACTTGACCCCCTAACATGCCAAGATCGACGTGAATAATGTCGAATTTAAAAAGACAAAAAAATCAGAATACCGAGTAACAAACGTGACCGTCAACGCAGACGCTGCCGAAAGGATATATTTAATCGAATAGGAGCGATTTCAGCACGACGAGCGAGGGATTTCGCGTAAGTGGCGTGCAACAAACGTGCGATGCAGAAGTGTTCGAATTAATGGGACGTTATCCCGGCGATACGTTTCAGCTCGTAAACTACGAGAGGCGAGGCGACGAGCCAGGGTATTTATCCATTACTAATGTTGGCACCAGCCACCGGTGTCGACGCTTCGATTTTAATCGGTTCAGTTTAGAAAATACTCGCGGCCGTCTCGCGAGTACACGAGATCGCGAAACGGGGAACGGAGCCGAGAATAATCCGGACCGGAAATACATATTGACAGCTCGATCTCTGCTCGATCATCCGACTCTGGAATTTCTTCTATTTCTAGAACGAACCAGCAGCAGCATTCTCTTTACCGATACCGGCGTCAAGATCGTATGTCAACTGGAGATTAAACTGGAAATGAAATCGCCACTAATGAAACAGGGGAAACTGTACACCCGGGATAAAATTCTACGTCACGTGCTGATCTCTGCGTTATGTGTGCAATTAAAAAAAAAGAAAACTTGACCGCTACCCTTCGCCCGATATTAGAATATTAGGATATCGGTGTAGCGAAACGGCGAAATATTAATATCGGGATATTAAAATATTGAAGGAGGCATTTGATTGGCCAAAGAATTGGAATATCAGATTATTGACACGCCGGGTATTGGAATATCAACGAGTATTAAAATACATGCACTGCAACGTTGGGATATTAATGTATTGGAAAACCGAACCGAACAGTTGAGATGTTTAAATGTTTAGAGACTGAAGTGCTAGCGTGTTGAGTCATTAAGTACTGGAATGTCGAAATATTGGAATATCGGAGCACTGAAATATTCAGCTGTTAACGTATTGGAATATTAGCATTAAGTATTAGAACACTGGAATATTGGAAGAGGAAAGTTTCGAAGTATTGAATTATCGGAGTATTAAAATACTGGAGTAATTAATATTAAAATAACAGAGTGCTGGAGTTTTGAGAGCACTGAATGCTCGAACATCAAAGTGTGTGTCAAAGTGTTGAAATAATTAAAATACCAAAGCGTTACAATGTTAAAATAATAGTGTTGGAATATTGATACATTAAATTAGAGTATTAAACATTAAAACAACAGAATATCGAGTCATCAAAGAATTTGTCTGCCAGTGTACGTATTATAATACTAAAATACAAAATTACTGACACGCTACGAACGTACGAAGTTACGGTAATAAAGCATCGAACACGCAGACTGATTTAGTGGACACATTTTCAAACGAGAATGACTTCTATATCCAGCGGCAAGTAAATATAGTAAATGAAAACGTAACAATAAAACCAGCGCTTGGACAGTAACGTTGGAGATAAAACGTAGCGGAAGAGGCACAATGTGTACGTATGTATGCTGCGTCGAGAATAACCTGTTCACCAATACCGGCCGGACCACGAGGAGGAAAGAAACTGGCTGAATGAAGACGTGTATCTCTCTTCCAGAGGAAGGGGATAAAAAAAGAAGACGAAGAGACAGGGTGGAAAGATAAAAAAAAGAAAAAAAGAAAAAAAAAGATGTGTCGGAGAGAAATGGCTAAAAGCGTGGAGGAACAACGCTAGTCGGGGCGATTTAAAAACGAAAAAAGAGCTCGACAGAAAAGTTTATTATGTTCTTGAATGGCGTGCTTTCGTGGGAGTTCCGGGGACTCGCGGAAACACGCAATTTTCATGATAAAGCAAACAATAAAGCGCGTCCTAGACGAAAACGTAATAAAAATGAACGAAAAAAAAAAAAAAAAAGAAGACGAAGAAGGCACCGAGTGAACGGCACGGTTGCCATTATGAAAAGAACCATTTAATTTAACAAAGGGCGCCGCTATTAATTTCCCCGACGACATTTGAGATATTTAAAAAAAAAAAAAAGATATCGATGCAGTGGCACCTGAGACGCGCGTTGAAAAGGCCGGATTATTATTAAAAAGGCACTGGACGCTGAATGAAACAAGATGAATGGAAAAACGGTCGAAAGGGAAAGCGGCGAGTGAGTTAAGAACGACGAGAAAAAAGTTCGGTGTCGGTAAATAAATCAGGAAACACACAGCGAGGAGATTAATTTCGCGTGGAAGAGGAGGAAGAAAGATGAGATCAGATATGACGTGTAGAACGGGGGCTGAATGAACTTGAAGAAGCAAAAAAGAAACGGAGGGGGTGAGAAGTGGATGGAGAAGCACGTAAACAAGGAAGAACGATTTGCTGTTTATAAGACGATAAAAGCAGCGACATGAAAAATGAGAGAGGAGACGGAAAGGGTATGGAACTGGTGGTCGATGAGCACGAGAACACGAGCAGAAACAATTGAAATTAGAAATGTTTCAAACGCGGGACACAGAGGCGATGAATGAAATAATGCGGAAGCGTCGAGCTAGCAGAAAAATAAGAACGAACGAGACAGAGCAAACGAGAGGAACGAGGGAAGAAGCGAGAAAGCGAACACGCGCGGCAAGAGGCCGATCAGTCATTCCGAAAGACACGAAAGCTGCAAATAACTTGTGCTCGGTGGTGCTGGTCAAAAGCATCGACGAATGTGTTATGAGATTTGTCCCTCTCTTCCCTCCGCGTTATTTTCAACGATCCCTCGTGAACCGCGGATGACAGAACGTGCGAGAAGAAAGAAAGAACGAGGGGAATAAAAAAAGAACGGGATCATTCAGCAGAGAGGAAGAATTCTAAATCAACGGGCTCATTAACGTCACGTTACGGTTTTTTACACTTAATCCTTCTTCCTTTGAATTGGTGCGCCATGAATTTTTAACGATCAGAGCAAGTGTGAAACGTTGACTGACGAAAGTGAGATAAATCGAGTTGGGGTGTGTGTTAATAAAAAAAAAAAAAAATAATAATAAAAATGAGCTGTTGAAAGAGTTAAAATTGAATTAAGATTTAAACGAGAGCCACGCGATCAGAGCTGAACCATTCGGGTCTGTTTGGCTGGAAATGCAACGCGCGGTACTACGTAGGAAATTGCTTAATAAAGAGGAAAATAAAAGAATTCTGCGATGACCCAAAAGGAATGTCTGATTCACCAATAATTTATTTACGCAACAAAAAGATCTACGAGGTTCATGCATGCCAACGCGAGGCCTCTCTCTTTCGCTCGACTCCAGTGTTGTAATTTTTCATCATAGACGTCCGCGTGAATGGTTCCTACGAGAAGGGAATGTGGATTTCGCTGTATGGTGAAAGTAACGGGGTCGTGGACTTTAAGTCGTGAGAAGGTCTCACGAAAGGGATGTAATTATCATAAACAAGTCTTTTCTAACAAAACATTTGACGAAAATAGCTTCGTCCATTTCACACCAATGTTTTTCTTAAAAATTTCTTTTGCTCGCTGAAATTGAGAAACTACAGCAAAGTGAATATCAGTGATATTTTATATATATACAGTATATTAAATATTATATACATATACAGTATATAACTAAATAATATATAAATACATGTATGGCATATGTATTTTCCTTAACAACTGACTTCTTGTCGATTCTTGTTCTTAGAAGAAAAAAAAAAAAAGAAAATAAAAAAAGAAATCAGACTCCAAAAAATCGCGTCAGTAATGCAAAATAAATTTTCCGATCCCATATTTTTCGATACCGTAGCACGAGCTTATTGTAGCTCGTGTATTACTAAAAAGTTCCCAGGTAAATCTTTTACGAGCCACGCTTTTACGACTTTTCCTGATACCGTACGAAATAAATATACGATCCGAAAAGTATTACTCACAAGTATGTTGATTTATAAACCTATATTGATAACTGTACAGATGCCATCTTAGAATATATTAACTCGCAAATGGCATTCATAAAACCGTAAAACTAAGGCAATGTATAGTGACGAGTACATAAATTTCTATCAAAACTATAATTGTATGTTATAAAAAAAAAAGTGGAAATAAAACTTTTCATAATACAGTTATATGTAGTTAAAAAGTAAACATTTCTCTACTTATAAGTTATACTGTGTGATCGTGTTTATATATTATTATTAAATTTTCTCGACACTTTCACTACTAATAAAAAATATGTTGCATTGCTTAGTTACCTAAATAATTTTTATAAAATGAATATCGTATTTAAAACGTTATTTAGAATAAGACATTTTTAACGAAAATAGTGTGTAACTCCACAATCTCTACAAAAATAGAGTCAGTTTTTTTAGTCTGCTTCTTCAAATACATATATTCATACATGCTTCTTAATACATAATATAATACATACTATAATATATTAATATTTCTTCAAATACATATATTAATAAATTTAAATGAATCACACAGTATAGATGCAAAATTGATATAATAGGAAAATCACTCACCTCCTCGTCCGATGATGGTTCCTCGTAATCCGATTGCGAACCCTTGAACACGAAGATGCATTCCGATAAATCCAATATACGCGCATTGCCAAATTGCGTCTGTCGGTCCGTCAATTGCTTCGCACAAGTCGTTTCTACCATATTCTTCGTTTGTTGATTCAAAGTTTGACTGGAAGTGATAGTCTTTCTGACTAGAACATTCTGTAATGAGAAAATGAATTTTCATTAATAACTTAACTTTTTTTTTTCTTCTTAAAATTATGAATTTCCTCTCAATCTTTGGTAAACATCAATTATTACAACATGTTACATGGTATTACGTGTAAAACATTGAAATATTATATATAATTTGTATTTATTAATCTTCAGTTTGAAGAAATAAAATTGAAAATTTAAATTCATATTCTACAATTTGCTTTTTCTTTCAAATTGAAACCATAATTCACGAGTGTAACTCAAAGGATTAAAAATAAAAAGGAATGTAATCTATTATTTAAAAAAAAAAAAAAGAAAACGTAATTTCATCTATAGGAATGCCTAAAAAATTACTAGCCTAACAGGCCAATAACCACGCAGTGACTGGAAAACTGATAAGCGGTATCACTAACGGAAGGATTTCCATTCATCATCAAAAGTATGAGTCTCTAAATCATGCTACTTCATTCATCCGTGTACACGTGATACGACCACATGGCCATGTACTTATGACTTCATTTATAGATACGAGCGGGTCTTTAAACGAAAACAGCGATGAATACAATATGGAAATAGATCGAATAATCATTTACGTCACGCCAATGTATGTACAATGTATATGCGATGTTATCTATCTCCTTTTGTATACATATATATAGCATGCGTGCAGCTCGTGTAACAAATGTATTTATGTATACATGTGTCTATATATTGACGTCAATTTGATGCTAGTCTGTATTATAGGTTAGGTTTGTCTGACTCATGTCACGAAGCACTTCCAAATAAAATAAAATTTATTTTCCGAGCATTATTCTAATTGAAGTTATAGAAAAAAAACCTAATATAATAAAATGATATACTATCATAAAATAACGTTACTGACAGAATTATCGAAAAAATATTGGAGGAATGCACGTAGGTTAGGAGGCAAGTTCGAATTACTTTCGACATAAACTGAAGTATGTTAAATAATGTAGGTTAAATAATGAGAAACTTACTACAGATTGTTTTAAAATGTAAGACACTAGACCGATAAAATACGTCACATTCATTTAAAAATCGTATTTGCAATAGTATACAAGATTTTTAAATATAGAAACACACACCGTAAACGAATTTGAAATGGTATTGCCATCTAACGATGACGAGTATAACTAGTAATGTAACTTGGAATTTAAAAGTTTACACGTACTTTTTAATTGGTTTCAAATTAATTGAAAAAGCGATGAAAAGATCGCATATACATATGTAATACATATATATATATATATATATATATATATATATATATATATATATATATATATATATATATATATATATATATATANGACTTTTTTCCATTATTTTTAGGCGTACAATTCGCTCCCGAAGTGGGTCAGTTACGAAACACCCTCTATATATATATATATATATATATATATATATATATATATATATATATATATATATATATATATGTAATTCATAATTGTCTTTAATTACGAAAAAGTAACAGAAATAATCTTTGCATAGATTACATCTATTATAACATCTAATCTAAGTAGAAATTCACATAAAAATGTACAAAATTTATATATTTCTTATAGGATTCAAGAAATACATGCACTTTTATAACAAAAATAAAAAATTCATTTATAATAAAATAAATTACTTTAAATCTCCACATTCATGGGTTCATACTGTTTTTTTAAAACAAACGATGTAGCTGTTTTCAATATTACGTCCCCTTTGCCATTATCCTCGGATTTACAATCATAAAGAGAAATTTCAGATACATTCTCCAGTAATTCAAAACCACCGCATTTACGTCTTGTATCGTTTAAATATTTTTGCGTTTCCAATCGAATGGCATATTCTTTAAGTTGTGTCAGAGAACAATGTTTTGCTATTAACTTTGCATTATCATAAATCTAAAATAATAAAATATCATAATTATGCATAATTGTGATAATCGAGACGAAAATACGTACTTGTATACCCTCTGTACAATTTGTAAATATGCAATTATTCATAAATACTTCTCCATTGCTATAAATAACTAAACCAGTCACAAGACTGTCAAAGAGTGTATTTTCTATTATTAGTTTTGCATTAGGTAAAACTACAATTCCTAGTTTCACCATACTCTTATTTAAGGCACATATTTTACAATTGACTATTTTTGTGGTTCCAGCTCTCACTACAACAGCTGCTCTAAGATCACCTACATCTACCGTGATATTTTCTAGCAAAACCTATGAACAAATACACAATATAGTTACAATTAATGATTAACTATGTAACGATTAACGATGTAACTTACTTCATTGCCAGAAAAATCAAGCAATGATGGTGCAGTTTCAATGTCTATCTTATTAAGAATAGTATCTTCTGAACTATCAATTCCTTTAATGGTACCGCCATCTTCCAATCTACCGGCACTTTTTATTGTATGAGTTCCTTTTCCAACTACAATAATATCTCCTGCATCACACGTGTATAGAGTCTCTAATAAAGATCCAGATATTCTAAAAAAAAAATATCAAGGGATCAAACATCAATAAAACGTTTTTAACATCATCAAACTTACATTTATCAAACTTACTTGAAAAATAATTCTGTAGGTAAAGATATTTGAACTTTATTTATAGCTTCCTTCATTTGTTCCAGAGTACCACCAAGCCACACAAAATAACCTTCTTTACATTTCTCATTATTTTCTGTGCTTTCTATTTCATCATTTTTTGAAGACGAGGTCTGATTTGCAAGAATCTCTCTCATAGTTGGATTTTCAAGAACTTCCATCTCCCTTTTAATTTGTTGCAACCGAAAATGAAGTGTCATCAACTGACATGCTGTTCCTCCATCTATATCCTTTTCTTGTTCTTCCTCGGAGATAGTATCTTCTAATCTTGATATTTTCTGTTCAATCTCTCTTCCCTCTCTTATCAAACTTCTAATAACATCACTAGTTTCATTAGTAATAGCACTCCTTTTCATATCAAAGAATAATCTAATTCTAGTTTCTAAATGTACAGACACCCAATCAACATCATCATCATCATCTACATCCCATGGCATCCATAAGTATTTATAAAAGAACCTCAACTGATCGATGCAAGTTGCAGTACCCACTATATCCAGAGCATTATTCTCTTGCATATGTGTTGGGTAAAGCTCAATAAGTGGTATATCATACTTGTCAAGTAATTGAATATCATCTTGAACGGCAGTAATTTTTGCTAATGCAGATAAATCAGAAAAATCAACTTGCTCAACTTGTACGACCACTATAGTAGGATAATGGATATGAAAACTCTCACACACCAAACGTGGTATTCTCCATAATGCTTGCCAACCAACGGGTTCTATTACAAGTTCTATGTAATAAGACCATTCTGCTTTAATTTGTGATGCAGGTACAATTTCATCTCTACTGGATAAAATTTCTGTTAATTCTACCAGCCTTTCTTGAAGACTCTTATCAAAGGTGTACACCTCCATCAATTATCTGTAAAATAAAGAATTTTGTAAAAAAATCGATCGATCATATTAGAAATTTATGAATACACGTCTACCTACCAGTTACGAATTTATTACAAGTTGTATCGAGAACGTCGATTTTAATCTTTTGTCTAATATATCTAACGAAATGAAAACGAAACTTTCGTAGTAATTGTGCTTCAAGTCTAACAAAGTAAAGAATCAAGAAAGTTGCACGCTCTTTTGTTAAAACGAATCGAGATCTGATCTATATTTTCAAATATTATAAATTTAATTAAATATATAAGCGAATAAAAGAGAAATGTTCATTCCAAAAATCACTGATCACTCATATTTTCAATCGACGTTGAAACACTGGCAAATTAACTGTTATAAAATATTCAAATTACAGTAAACCTGATTGGTCGACGAATAATATTCCCTCGATTCTCGTTTTCAACAATTATCGATTTACGACATCGATGATGTCTAACAAATAATAAGCTTGTTCTATCATAGAAATAAACAGCCTTATTTTTGTAAACAATTGGAATTATGTCTGGAGAAACAAATGGTATGTTTAATAAACGATTAAGCATATATCGTTCTTCCAAATGTTAACAACTTTTCGATAGTGCTAATAATAAGTACCTAATATAAATATAAATATAAACAACGTAACTATTTTAATGATATTTTAATATTATTAATAGATAATTATATTTTAATATGTGACGAAGGGAACATGGGGCAGAGTTCCATAGAAGATAAACTTTTCGATGAAATTATTGGACATATAGAAGATATTTTATTAGGTGTGTATTAAGGCAAGGTGTAAAAGAAATTCAATTTTATAATAAAAATTTTATTTTTAGAAGACGATTTCCATGCTATTCAAAAAAAATTTTTAGATAATTACTGGGATGTTTTTGAGCCTGCAGAAGAAAATAAATTAATTTACACAAATATATTTAATGAATATGTAAGTAGTTCAATAATGAAAATAACAAATTTTTTATATTTGTGTACATTTATGTATCTGACAATAATTTTTATAGACTAAGGCCGTGGAAAATTATATTGTTAATTACTTACAAAAGGTTATACCAGATTTTAATATTAACACATTTTTAAAACATTTAAAGTAAGTATAACAATTTTATACTTAGTATATATGAAAGTTGCAAATATATGAAAGATTTATTTTTTTAATAATTATCAAATGATATAGTAATAAGCAAAATGAATTGGAAGGTGAAGTATTCGAAGTGCTATCAACATTCACAGACTTTATGTCCTTCAAAGAAATGTTCCTCGACTATAGAGCTGTAAGTAGTATCAATATAAAGAAATAAAAGTAAATTCCAATAATTACATGAATCTTTTTCAGATGAAGGAAGGGAAAATTCAAGATCTTAGTTATGGAATATCTATCACATCTCTCAAAAGTTGTACATATGACAATAATTCTTTTGGCTAAAATATTTTATCAATAAAATAAATATATTTTAAACATACTAAAAAAATAAATTACTAATCGCATTTCTTATGTTCAATTGCGCTTTTCGAAAATCAGTACATTTATTTTATTTATAATCTTTGTTTAACCTATGGAAGTACAAAAAAATATATACATTGTATTTATAATACTTTTAAAAATTGAAGAATTGTAAACATAGATTATTATTTATGTTTCATTAATTCACTATTCGCACAAATATATCTATTGTATCCCTTAAAGTAGTATATTAAATAAAGTAAGAAATATAATGTTTAATTCAGCACATGAGGATCTCCATTTGTACAAGTTTACTATTTGTTTCATTTGGCATACGATATGGAAGTGTTCCTGCGAAACTAGTTAATGCTCGTGCTTGTTCTCTAAGATCAAGAAGTTGCTGTTTTCTTGCCTCTTCATCACCTGGTTCCATCGATCGTAACTTTTGATACTGACGATAAAGTATTGTCATTGTAGCTAAAAGAACGTCGGCTAACGTACCAGTTACTTCAGGTGGTACTCGTCGCAATGCGTTTACTCTTTCATCGACTTCTTTTATATTTAATGGTAGTAATTTCGATTCGGAAATAGTCTATAAATAAAAATAATTATAATGTTATAAAAAATATTATAATATAAACTTGAACATGAATATTTATAATCTCATGTATCTTACCCTAAGCGCACTTTGATATTGTTCATTATGAAATTGATCAAAGAATACCATTAGATGCTTTAAAGTATAAAATGCAGATACCAATTCAGAAGGTGCTTGTAACTCAATGTTTTGATACCTAAAAATAAATATTTATGTACATATTTAATGTTTTCTGATAACAATAACGATATTATAGATTTCAATTTTACCTTTTGCTTATGTCAGTAGCTGTCACCTGCAATCGAGATCTGAGTGATCCCGGCGAAGTCCTTTGATTAACAACCTGCGCCAAGAGCGTACACATGAGACTAAGAACTTTTTCGTGATTGCGAGCAAGATCATACACTGTCACTGCATCTTCTAAAAGACCTTTTCTATATAATGTGTCTGCGCTTATGTTTATAACATCCTCTGTATTAATTTGGAATTGATCTAAAATTCCTGGTATCCAACGATCTTCTACTATTTTTCCAATTAATTGAGTTCTGACTGCTGGGGAAGTATCAACTACCATTTCTGCAGCTGATGCAGCAAACATATTACGATCATGCGGATCTTTCATAGATCTAAGAGATAATCAGATAATTAAAATTAAATCTTGAAAATTTCGATAATTGTTTGATTTTCTATACAAACCTTAATAAGAATAAGTAATGTAAACATTCCTTTGGATCTGTAGAATCAAATCGTTTAACGTATAATAATATTAATCTGGCAAAGTTTAGTCTTTTAGCAGGAGGCTTATCAGCAGGATCAACACTTATTAAAGGTGCTAAGACACTTTGACTGACTCCTAATAAGTTATGTTCGTGCATAGCAGCCGCTAAATGCACAGCATGAGGCAGATGCCTTGCTCCTGCACCTCTTGCCAAAAATTCAATTGCAGCTTCAAATTGACCAGTTAAAAATAGCATTGAAAAATATACAAATGGTTGTTCGTGAGCATGATAATATGATTCTCCATATATTTCTGATATCATAGTTTGTAAATAATCTAAGGTCAATTTATTTTCTGCATCTGGTTGACCTTTAACCTGGCATAGTTTCAACCATAAATAATCATCAGCTGTGCATATTACATCAGAGTGCAAATCATCAGGTTCACAAGGAACTAGTGCACAATATGCAACTCTTTTATATGGGTCAGTAACGGATCTAACATGTTTCCTGTACTGCAACTTTAAATTTGATTCTGCAGAACTACTAGGATGCCTTTGAACATCGCAACAAGCTTCTTCCAAGGCAACTTTAAATTCTGGAAATTCTGTATTACACTGACTAAGACATTGCAATGCTGCTTTGTAATCACCAACCCTCATACAATAATAAACTAAAGGCCATAATGGTTTGTCTTCAACCATCACAGCTTCTAAATCCTTCAGATTTTGTACTTTAACACTAACAAAACTTTTAACTAATGGCACCGTGCCTGGAATGCCACCCCGCTTGGCTTGAGCAGGGTTTTCATTAATAACAGAGTTCATAAATTCCTTGTATCTATCTTCTAAGTATTTTCTTGCATGTAACACAATTTCTTGTTCAACAATAGGTGTACTTCTTGATTTGATCTGATCTTCTCTAGGGACTGGTCGAATGTTTACCATACATTTAACCATTTTCCAAAGGTCCACAATTTTTTTGTCATCAAATGACTTCGCAGCTTCACAGAATGCATTAAACAAATTTGGCTTAGTTATTCCCCTAAGCACATGATCATTATAATTTTGTAACTCTTTTACATAAGCTACTTCTACACTGGATAAACCAGTAATCATCGACCCAGCTAATTTAGTACGTTGTGGAGTACCACGTAAATCTACAAGCTCCCCAGATGGAGCTGTCATTGCATTTATGATCTCAAATCTCATTTGTTTCCATTCACCTAACATATGCTCCATTTGTTGAACTCTGGTAAGATCAAATGTCTAAAATAAATTTATATAACTTATAAATTTCTATCTAAAATAGTGAAGTGTTGCTTACAAAAAAAAAAACATGATACATCTTACATCTTTATGAACCTGTTCAATGATTGATAAAATAGCATTTTCTTTTTCATTTCTAAGATAATTAACTATATCTGTGTCTGCAATAGGATCTAGAGGTTCAAACGTACGTCTTGCACTGAGTGAACTTAGTTTCTGCGAAATCTGAGGTAAATCAACACCACGTGAACCAAGCAACAAATGCCTGAAATTATAAAACATTACACATATATTACACTTATCAAATAAATTTTATTATACACTTATCAAAAACATGAAACAAATTTTATTTTAATTAGAAAATAAATTAAGTTATTGAAGTTAAAGTGATAGGTAGTGATAGGTAGATAGGATGTCCTAAGAATTTTGGCGCCAGAAATTTATAAAATTCTTAGGTTATATACAGCATTGCGAACACAACTTTTTTTAAGTAAATAAGTTTTGTATCAAAAGTATAAATTTTATATCATTCGATTGAAAATTATCTAAAAACTTCGTATGCAACAAATAGACGAATGTTCTTACGCTTGTACTTGATTATCCTGCGTGCCGGTCTGTGTGACACGAGACCAAAGTTCGTTGGAAGCTTCTAAGATTTGACGAAGATTTCTCTCAACTTGAGGAAGTTCTTCATTGCCTTCTACAGCGGCAGATAATCGTTCTGCTGACCGCAACAATTCACTAAAGCCAGTATCTCCTGACACTCGGGAAGAGTCCGTGTTTAACATATCGGTAAATCCAGGATCGCTCATATTTCAAACTCGACGTCCACGAGTCTCTTAAACTAGAGAAGTGTCCAACAGCGTTGTAGGGAATTTTAATCTTCTCGTAAACTACCGAACAGCATTGCACATCTGCCTTATTGTACCCTAGTATTTGTGAATTTTAAATATCATGAAGCTTAATTTACTTTATTATAATTTACATAATTTGTAACAATTAACGAATAATAAGGAAGATATTTTCTTTATCATATTATTCATATAATAATAATATCTTCATTTGAAAGAGAAAATAATTGACTCGCAGATTTTTGTTATACGTTTAAGGAGAGATCAGTTTTAATTCTTGAGTCAATTTTAAGATTGTTGAGAAAGAATTTGCTTACATTTAAAAGATCAAATCATACGTGTGCACAATCTGTGTCAATGAGAACAAGACTTGAGATTTAACGCTACCAACAGCAACCTGTCTTTCTCATTGTTAAATACCCTACATAGATTGACAGTCAAGGTACATACTTCTACTTGAATTTGATTGTTACAAATGGGATATCCGTTCGTATGCTGCAAACAACATTTCTTTATATTTCTGCTGAATACTCGTGAATCTTGGTAATAAGTTAAGTAACATAAATATGAGGCTTCTATTTGTCTAATTTGGCTTAAAACAAAAACCGAGCAATGATCGAGATAAATGTCACATATTACCCGCGTGTTCCGTACATGTTCTGTCTGTTAAATCGTTCTGTTACCATGCTCGTCAGCGATTAATTATGGAAAAACGAAATTCCAGTAATAAAGAGGACCGTCAGGCCTCGCAGTATTTTGTTGCCAAACAGAATACCATTCTGAAGCGTATGTCTAGCGAATGCGACAAGAGTGTCAATACGTTGCGTCTCGGCATGCTGGTGGAAGCTGTCGAAGATTTGGGGGACAGTGCGCTTAAAGTACGCGTAATTGATACAACAGGATCTGAAATTTGGCGCGGCACCGAATGGCAATGTCACAAATTTGATCTAATTCCCGTTACGTCAGAAGTATGGAAATTTCTGCCTGCTATTTCAGTGCCTCAAGAGAGGGTTCGTTTGGCAAATTACAAACACCTGTGCGAAGAACTCCTGAGTTTAGGAGTGAATGACACTGTCTGGTACTGCGTTGATTCCCTGGGATGCACAAAATATTTAGCTATTATTAAATATATTGGACCTGTGCCACAACTCGGGCAAGGATATTATTTCGGCCTTGACTTATTGGTAATTCAGTGAAATATTTCATTTATTTTATTTTTTTTAAATATTTTTTATAAGATACACGAATATACCTGTTTGATGATATGCTTGTAGGATGGCGACGAACCATCTAAGACAGCTTTACTGAGTAAAGAGTATTTTGTTTCTACCCACTCTGAGGGAAGATTTGCTACACTGAGTAACATTTTCCCTTTAAAACCTGGAGGTCCTACAGGCCTTGCAAAACCAGATAAAAGTACAAAGACAAAAATATTCTGTTCTTTTCAATTTATAGGATTACAATTCGTTAATTGACTCTTTTATTTCAGATTTTTGCGTGAAAAGTGAAGCAAGCAATAATTGTACAAATGACAAGAAAAAGTCTGTATTAGATACAATACCGCCTGTCCTGTTGGAAAGATTTACTCTGTATGATGATAATAAAAACAATAATAGAGACCAAAGGTCTACATCAAAAGAATACCATCAGTCAGTAAAATCAGCAACACATGAAAATGACAGCAATGTAACTAAAAGTACCATCATCCATGGTAATAGTAAAAATATAAAAATAAATTTTATATTTGCTCAGTTTAATGCTCGATAGGATATCTTGCTAACTTTTCTATGAATCCCACATAGTATGCTTGCCTTTGCCTACCATGTGTAGTAGAGGGAGTTAAGAATAACTGAGGTGGTTAAAAATAACCACAATCTTAGTCTCGGTTAGTACTGCCGGCAAGCTTTTTGGTGTTATAAACCTATCATAATTTTATTGTAAAATGGCTGCTGCATTGCAAAACATTCCCCTGTTTGTGTTAGAACATAAATGGAGTAGTGATATTGAATCAAATGTGTATAGTGATATTGAGAGAACGCTCGAATGTTCAAGTCCATTGGATTGTAGTAAGGAATAGACATTTTGAACTCTATTAGCATTCCACGTCTATTTTAATTTGTTGAATTACATTCCACTTTTTCTCTTACGATTTTAGTTACAATCAATGTTCTTTTATAAAGAGATATATTTATTTTGATTTCAATATACGAGCGTAAATTTCAATTGTAACAGGTAACACACCTGAAAAGAACGAAAATAAAAAATTTGGCCGAACAGAAAATGTAGATTTAATTGTGGGTTCAAATGTGAAGGTACTTTTGGATTCTGATATACACTATGGAATTATTCGTTGGATTGGAACTCCTTCTGGTATTACGTCTGGTAAATTAATGGCAGCTGTGGAATTGGTATGTAACATAAAAACTAACAATAAAAATTAAAGTTCAAAATTATTAATGAAAAAGTATAATCCTTTCGTTTATTTCTAGGATGATAGTCACCCATCTGGTACTGATGGAACATATAAAGATGTAAGATATTTCCATTGTCTGCCTTACAGAGCTATTTTCACGGATCTTGATCAATGTTCACGATATGATACCATGGTAAGTATCGTATTGTATATTCTTTTTGTATTCGTATAACAAAATATATTTATATGTTTAGGCAAAAATCGATAATCCAACAACATCACTAAGTACAGATAATTTCGGAAATATGGAAAGCTCTGTTATCATCGGTATGGTACGACCTATTTCCGTAAAAGGAAATTTAGAAAGTATTTGTGGGAAATATCGGGGGATCCAAGGTCATCATAATTCATGTTATTTAGATGCTACTCTTTTCAGCATGTTTACATTTACTAGCGTTTTTGATAATCTTTTATTTAGGTATTAATCTCAAACATTTCATTTTCGTTTTTCAAAAATAAAATATCATACATAATATATTATTTTTTTAGACCACCGAATGAAAAGGATTGTCCTCAATATGAAGAAGTACAAAGAGTATTACGTGAAGAAATTGTAAATCCGCTTAGAAAAAATATGTTTGTAAGAGCAGATCGAGTAATGAAACTCCGAACTTTACTTGAGAAGCTATCATCTGTATCCGGGCTTACTAGTGAAGAAAAAGGTATTTGATCATACATAGTACATACATGAATAACATTTGAATAAATAAAATTATTCAAATATTTTCAGATCCTGAAGAATTTTTGACATCACTGGTTGCCCAAATTTTGAATGCTGAACCATTTCTTAAATTAAGTTCTGGCCAAGATGCATATCATTATCAACTTTTTGTTGAAAAAGACGATCATTTAAATCTTCCAACTGTTCAACAATTATTAGAACAGAGTTTTCTTACAAGTAATATAAGATTGAAAGAAGTTCCTTCGTGTCTTATTATACAAATGCCACGATTTGGTAAATCATTCAAGATGTATCAGAAAATTCAACCTACATTGTTACTTGATGTAACAGATATAATCGAAGATTGTAGGTATTATATTATTGTTATATTGCAATGTATGAATATTGTAGTCATCTCTAATTTTCCGTTTGCAGCTCCAAGACAATGTACCGTTTGTGGAAAGTTAGCGGAATACGAATGTAAAGAGTGCTATGGACAATGTGGCGTTGGACTCGAAAGCATTGCCTTCTGTTTGCAATGTTTAGAAAAGGTAAAATGAATGAGTGAATAAATAAGAACTATACTTTTAAAATAGAATGTTAACTTGTTTAGGTGCATCGACATGAACGAAGAACAAATCACGAACCAAAGAAACTTATAGTACCAATGGAGTTTGCTATTTTACAAGAACATTGTCCAGTTCCACGATTATATCTGGAATTATCAGCAGTGGTTTGCATTGAAACCTCCCATTATGTATGTTTCGTAAAATGTGGTTCTGGTTCGGAAGCACCATGGTGTTTCTTTGATTCTATGGCTGATAGAAAAGGTATTTTTCAATCTTATTAAAAAAATATTTCGATAAATTTATCTATTGAATCTTTATTTTTGATTGATAAAACTTCTTTTTTAGGGGAACAAAACGGTTACAATATACCGGAAATGGTTCCATGTCCAGATTTTCCATATTGGCTAAGTGAAGAAGGTGGAAATTATCTAACTGAACTAACGGATGATCGTCATCTGCCGGAGCATGCAAAACGACTGTTATGCGATGCATATATGTGCATGTATCAATCTCCTGATGTTATGATGTACAAATAAGTTAAATTGCCTGATAATTTAGGTAAGTTAGGTTTAAAGTTACTACTTAATGAAAATAGGCATGATGTTTGTGCTTGCTGCTTTATTTATTTCATGTATATTATAAAGATTTCGTGTCACTAAGAACGAGAGATAAAGAAAATATCAATGCATAACTGAATTATGTCAGTTTATAACGTTTATTCAAATCTACATTTGACAGACAAACATGTAATCTTAAGGAAACTAAGATTATATGTAATACATATATATTATAGAAATCATTTGAAAATCACTGTTTTTAGTCAAAAACTAGTAATCTAACTCGAATATAATGCTGTTTTTTAAATTCACAAGATATATGTATACATGTATATATTTATTAGTGACATAAAATTAAATTTTCCACGCTATGAAAGTTATAGTAAAATCTACTATACTATTGTAAAATTTATACATATTGCACGATCTGATAATTAGTTTCTTAGCAGTAAATTCAAAATATTGAACTAAAAACTTTATAATTCACAAAACTGGGTATTTGTGTATCAATACGTACATTAAGATCGTGTATATTAAAAGTAATATATGAAACATAAACAATTTTATATGGAAAGCTTATTTAAAACATTAAGAATATCATAGATTGATTTTTATAGCAAAGAGCATAAACAGTTAATAAATTTTTTGTAACTTAAAAATATAATGACTAGGATTCAAAAGTTAATGTTGCACTTTTAGATCTATCGTTGCTCTAATAATTTTTTACTTCTATTTTATAATATCAAATTAGATTTATTTTAATTTCCTTATTACTATCATCATAATAATTAATACAATGTTTTAACAAAGCAACTTAGTACAACACCAATTATCGTTACAATAATTCTGAAAAATTCTAACGTTAGTTTTAACGGAGCAACTTAGCACAACATCAATTTAAAATCCACTAAGTTTGTTGCTTTTTTTTATATAAATGATAATAAGGGTTTTTCTGATATTATAAATTTGAACATTTCACATAGAAAAAAAGCTGATTTTTAGGCTTATAAAAATTTGATTACTATGCAGCAGATTTATATGTTTAAAATATCTTGGATAATAATGTGTATATAAAAATTATAAATTCATACGGAAAATAATATGATTCTAAGTTCTTATAGTATTGTTCTTCTGTTTGATTCTTTGTTCATTATAATTACGTTTCGATATTGTACAAAAGAGAAATTGAGAAACAAAATAATTAAATTCTCTATTGAGTCTGAAATAAATGTCGCTGTAAGTGAAACGAAATGAAATAATTGTAAAATTCGAAATATATCACTGTACATAATAATTTATGTACAATAGTGCCGCGTTTATTAACCATAGCAAATTATATTTAGTTAATTTTCAAGAAAAGTATACTTCTAGAAAACTATTTCTCTATTGAATGTGAATGGGATATGGATATTTGATACGTTTGTTTATTTTAATTACGTAACGTCAGAAGTTTCACGAAGCAAGTTCCAAGAACTGGTAGTGGCGGTTAGTTAGACGTAACACTACTGTAATAGAAGAAATTTAATGTTCATTTATGTCCCTGTATGGCAGAACTAATAAAGATAAAGTTTGTAAACATGTATTATGAATTTAGTATCTGTCTTCATCTTCATCCATGGCAAAGTCACTGCCAACACCAGAATCTAACACGTAGAGAGGACTGTAAATACACATAAAAATGAATGACAGTAAATATAACTGAACAATAGTTAAAGAAAAACAAAAGTTGAAGAATGGATATACTTACTTTATTGCTCTGCATGGAAAAAACACAATGCGTTTCAATTTCTTGTTGTAGAAGAAATAATTAAAAGACCATAAGCATCCATCTTCTCCAAATGGATCAGATGCAAAGTCTGGATTGTAACTAAAATATTTTTACATTTTTAATCTTATCTAATATATAATTTTTCCCAATGGAATTCGAAATATTTACCTATAAATATCACATTCATTTAATGATATTTCATGATCAATGGCAGCCCAAAGTGCCGTTCGAAGAGTACGATAATGATCTCCCGCGGTTGCACTCAAATTACTGTCTACAGCATTCATGACCCATTGCAAACTTGGTTCTTTACTGAATTCATGACTCTTAGCATCAGAGAAATCATAATCTGGATGAAAAGCTGAATTCAAAGTGGCAATCAAATAGAACAAGGTTTTTCTACTGATTGTATCGCACAGTGGACCATCTTCATCACCAGAAACACTGCGGCTGAAGGAAAAATATGGAAACTCATTAACTTACTATACAGGTACTATCAAACAGTAAACATGGATATCCTTTTACAAGGTATTATAAACTTTTACTCTGTTTATTATTTAAAGAGGATAATATTCATATTATTATTTCAAGAGGATAATACTGATATTTTTAGATTTATTATTTTATTATATGTCTCATCTACAACTCTTAATACCTAAAATACCCTTGAGCAGGCGATGTTCCTAAAGATGTTTGTGGTGGTGATAAAGCTTGAAGATCATGCGGAGTAAAACCTTGTTCTGCATTGAAACGTTTGTACAACTGTTTATCATTTCCAGCCATTTTGCAAGAGTAGCTCTCTATTCTGTGGATCAAGAAACAAATAATGTTCAAGATCATTCTAGAGGATAATACGGATCCAATAAATAGCATTCCGACCATCTTACCTGCCTATTATTTTGCTGTCTCCAGTCTTGATGGACAAGGCACTGTTTATGGCTTCAAAGCGTGTACTCTCGAGCAATTTCATCTTGTCAGTAAGCAACAGTTTCTCTTTATTTTGTCTAAGAAGAACGTCCCGGTATTGGATATCCTTGGTGCATCTCTCAGTGGAACACTCTTGTCATTAATACTCCATTACACAGGAGCTGATGACCTTTAACGTGTTTTTGCGGCTAAACTTGACCTCGTTTCTCAGTCGGACGGCCAAGGTGTTCAATATAATCGAAAATTTAAAAAGTTTCTCGAACATCGAAGACTTATTGAGTCTTTGTACATTTTTCTTATGTATATAAAAATTCCTTTCCTTTTTGAGTGTACGAAATTAATCGTGGACGTAATGATTTTCTCCGCGGCGCCGAACTTGTACATCACAGATCTCTAGTTAAAAATATCGAGATGAATTTACCGTCCGTAAAAATGTAAGAGTCCGATTTTAGCAATCGGTTCTCAGATTTAACTTGAAGCGCTGTCTTCTTGTCGCTGGCGCGAATGACGTTAACAAGCTAAAGAGAAGGAAAACAGTGTAAAAGGACAGGCGAGACTACCCTTGAGAAACAAAAGACGCCGCGTTCCTCTTCTTTTTTTTTTTCTCTTCTCTTTTCTTCTCTTCTCTCGTTTTCGGATCGAAAACTCGCGCTGAACGAAAAGTCGCCACAAGAGGGAAAAACAATGAATCAGATCTGTTTATTAGAGGTCAGCTAAACAAAGTGACTAAGAAGAACTTCTGCACGTTCGCTACTGACGAAAACAATCCATAATTACGGACATTGTTGTCACTATCACTTGAATTATCACGGCCACTATGAAATAATATCACCGTAAAGTTGATCCAACTTCGATACGACGATTAAAGATCGACAAACTTCAACCCTTCTCCGCTTCTGTTTCGCACAGTTTACCAATTATTTGCGTCTCGATATTAGTACACCTATGCAACGAGTATATGCGTCCTACGTGACAGAAATAGCACAGAGAAGCGTCTTGAACTTTCCTCTCTCTCTCTCTGATTCTGTTTCTGTCTTGTTTGCTCTTTTTACACCGCTACTCGCTCTACCCCGCTCTCATATGTTTTTTTAGTGGGGATGTGTACATGAATTTCGTTCAGCCAATCGAAATCTACCAATAAGAATGTGTATGTTAGGACGCGATGCAACGAGTCGCGTACTGGCTTTGATTGTGTGCACGATTGCGTACACGATTCAATTCTGGTCCGCGGGTCCGCGTAACGTTCGGTCTCGACTCTAACCTTGCAGAATGCTGACAGGAATTCGAATTCGTTGGTAAAATGTCAAAACGTTGGGGCAGCGACTATGTCGTTACGGAACATCGTGATTTACAGGTAACTTGTCTCATCGCACGATATTACGTACCGTGTGATTTCAACAACGTGAGATTTCAATTTCGAACGTTGTAATGCATAATTTATTATTGAATTATTTTTGTTTTATATACAGGCTAATACCATGGCCGTAGATGCGACGGGTAATTACGTATTACTTGCCGGGTAAGTAAGCAAGAAACGAACTTTATACTCATAATGTGATAATATAATTTTCACAGTTTTCTTCATGTTTTTTAATTTTTTGTTTTGTTTTGTTTTGTTTTGTTTTTAGCCGCAGATGCTTTGCGGTGAAACAACTCGACGACAGTGTCGACATATTAAAAAAATTTCAAAGACAAAGTAAATATGAGGTTGGCTCTGCAGAATGGAATCCCACAAGTATAAATTGTCATCTTTGCGCCGTATCGGTTAGAAATTAATCTGTATGTTGTGAATAATGTTGTAAATATATCTAACTGGATTTAAATTCTAGAGCAATACACGCATTGAAATATTGTCCCTCACTGGGAATGGTAATTACGACTTACAAACAACAAATAGCCTGAAAGCACATACAAGAGTTGTGAGTGATTTAAACTGGCATCCCAAAGAACCTGACATCATTGCTTCTTGCAGCATTGATACATTTATACATATATGGGACGTAAGAGATCAAAGGAGGCCATGTTTATCTTTGTCTGCAGTTGGTAAATACACTAATTACGAAATTTTGCAATAAAATGGTTTGCAAAACATTTAAAGATGTAATTGAATGTGTTATAGCTGGTTCTTCTCAAGTAAGATGGAATACTCTTTCTCCCAACATGTTGGCTACAGCTCATGATGGAGATATTAAAATATGGGATCAAAGAAAAGGAAACAGTCCTATGCAGTATATAGCTGCTCATCTAACAAAAGTAAAGCCTGATTTCACAACAGATCGTTTTAATAATATTCAGTAGCATCACTTTAGTAAAGTTCTATGAGATATTTATAAACATTAAAGTTATTTTAGATACATGGTTTAGATTGGTGTCCGTTTCAACAAAATCAATTGGCAACGTCTAGTCAAGATTGTACAGTGAAAATCTTCGATATCAGTAATCCACGAAGAGCCGAAAGCATTTTAACAACGAACTCACCAGTATGGAGGGCGAGATATACGGTAAAAGTAACATTGTATTTAAAGAAAATGAAAATTTTTTTCTCTCTATTAAAATTAAGTTCTATTTACAGCCATTTGGAGAAGGATTAGTAACAATAGTAGTACCGCAATTACGACGAGGAGAAAATAGTTTATTATTATGGAACACAACAAACCTCAGTGCTCCTATCTATACTTTCGTAGGACATACTGATGTTGTTCTTGAATTTCAGTGGAGACACCAAAAATTAGGTACATGGTATATAAATAAATTTTCAAATGAAAACATAGAATAAAATATTACGAAATATAGTATTTATGATTTGCAGAAAATAGTGACTTTGAATTAATTACTTGGTCAAAGGATCAATGTTTAAGAATATATAAAATTGATCCATTTTTAAAGAAAGTAAGTAAAAGTAAATTTCTATATACATATATGTAAAGATTAAGATTTTTATTTATAAAAAAATTTAACTGTAATCTTGTTTTAGTTATGTGGACATGGCATAGAAGATAGTTCATCTATCTATACTCAGTATTCTGAAGATAATAATTTAAGTATGTTTTTGTCTTGTTCACAAGTATAATGTGTGTTTTTTTTTTAATTCAATGCCATCTAATGTAATTGCCATTAATATAGGAACATTACAATCCGTCCAACAGTTACAACTTAGTGATACTCAAACTGATCGTGAAATGAATTGTATAACAACAAAAGTAGATGAACCTATATTAAATTCCGAAACAGATGCATATATCGAAAGTAATAAAGAAATATCGTCTCCTACACAACCAAAGACTTTACAGCAAGAATTTTCTTTAATAAATATGAATATACCAAACATAGAGGTAATATACATGTGTAAACATAAACTGAAGATATGTACATGGATACATATTTATTTTTATTTTTACAGGTCAACGCAATGGATGCTGTAGAACGCAGTTGTACCGTAACAGCATCCAATAAAAGTTATAATGTGATATTAAAAGTAAATTTCCCTGCAAATTATCCTTACAGTGCGCAACCTACATTCCAATTCTGTCCTGGAACAACAATCGACAGTGCAACATTGGCAAAGCTGTTGAAAGTTTTAAAACAAACTGCTCAACAACGCGTTAAAAAGAACAGATCGTGTTTAGAACCGTGTCTTAGACAGTTGATTACAACATTGGAACAAGTAAAAAAAAATATATTTTTCAGGTTACATGTACGTCTTTTATCTTTAATGTCTGATATTTTTCCTCTGTAGACATGTAAAAATGATGAAAATGAAAGTAATCATTTAGGATACGACATTCAAGACAATGCGAATTTCTTAAGTTCCTCTAATATGTATACAAATTATCAAGATGCTTACATACCGTTTCCTAGAACATCTGGTGCTAAATTTTGTTGCGTAGGTACGTATCAAAAAATAGTAAAAAATACAAATACTGTATAAGGCATAATTCATTGTTTCAATAGGTATACTCGTATGTTTTGGTCGTGCTTCATATACGAGAAGATCGTCCATGAAACCAGAATGTACAACACCCAGAGCACTTTCTGCGTTAGGAAACGGAATAGGCAACGGAGAACATTTTATGCACATGTATCCAAATTCTTATGTTCGATCGAATGACAACATTCCTATAAGTTCCTTTTATTTTCAAGATCGAGTATGTACATTTTTTATGAAAAAAATAATAATATAAAATAGTCACTAAATATTATTTTCAAATTAATAGAAAATAAATCGTGGATTACATAATACAAATAGAATGACCCATAGATCATGTTGTAAAAACTATCATTTTATGGTGATGATATACGATGCTTCTTCTTTGTTTTTCGTCAACAAAGAACTTGCAGAAAAATACGTGTGAGTACAAAAATATGTGTGATACAATTTTCAGAGATTATTAGTCTATTTTTAGAAAATAATTTTTTAATTTTATTTTATATCTGTAGTATCAATATCACCGATATTCCGGCAATGTGTCAATACAACGCAAATGTAGCTGCATCATTAGAACGTCCTGATTTAGTTCAGGCGTGGTGTTTAGCTGCTCTTGTGATATCACAACCTGTTTTAAATATTGGGCAAAATTGTCAATCACCCGAGATTGATGCTCCGTGGCCTTTACATCCTTTTGGTCAAAATTTAATTCATTCCTTGTAAGTACAACAAGAATATATGTTACTTACAATAAAAACAAATTAATATAAAATAATTGTTTTCTATTTTAGAATACAGCATTATGCTAATCAGTCAGATATTCAAATGGCAGGTATGCTGAGTTGTGCATTTAGTTATCGTTCTGAAAATCCTGACGTTGCGCAAACACGGCTAAATAGCAAGTCCATTAATGTTAGTGTAAGTATGTTATATTTATTTTGTAAATATTAAAATGTTCTAGCATGATCTGGCACAAGCACTATTTTTTATAGCATCATTAATAGTTGATACATTATATGTCTTGATCATATATTTTGTCTTCTGTTCACAAACATACTGAAGATACTTGAGAATACTCTTTGAACATAATCATCTATTGTACCACTATTCATGTTCCAATGTTCTTAAACTACAGTATATCACATGTATTATACTCAGCACACATTTCTTTTTTCTGATGCATGACTAAATATAAATATCTTACCATACGATCACATATCACGCATATGTATTATAACTACAATAAATGTCCAAAATTATTTAATTTGGAATTTAAATAGATTATAGTATACTGACGCAAGCCATTGGTATTTTATTTCAGTATTTTTCTTTTCTAATATATTTACATTTTTTTTTTTAAATTACCAAATGATTGATACTGTGTTATCTCTGTTATAGAGGCTTTCTACAGGAAAATGGTGGTTAAAGGTAAGGCATGGTTTTTGAATTTTTTAAATTCGTACGTGTTTGAAATGTTCTTAGGGTTCTCTTATGGTGATATTTGTTATTGCCTTACAGCATCGGAGTGGAAGTGTGATGGTCCCACAAAGCATGCAGGTTTGGCCCTGCTTAATATTTCAAATGCCAAACTTTTCGATCTTGCATCTAATAACTGTTTTACATTATGATTAATACTCATAAAATAATCGTACATGTTAGTAGTAATTAATCATATGTGATGTACTGTTTTGTTACCATAATGCCTCGAAATTTCACACAGAAGACAAACATCCTTGTGCAGAAAGTGATCATAGACATTATGCCTTTTATATGTTACTTGTGTATATTGTGTTTTCATATTGTTTATATGTAAGGTTTATGAATAGTCTTGTAATTTTATATATTATTTTAGCCTGGTGGTTCTCCGTACCACACGATTCATCTAGCCGATACCACATTAGAAGGATGGAACTTCCAAAATTTGAAGCAACATCGATCCAACTCGTGGTCTGATTCGCTCGACGACTTAAAATTAACTCAAGACACGTCAGGGGATTCCATGAAAAATATTAGGTACATAATTGAAAGAATTTTAATCAAAATTATTTAATTTTGTTGCACAAACATTGGTCATGCAGGTTACTTGATGAAAAATATACTACTCTCTACGACGGTTACAAAAAAGCGTATGCCGAAGTGCTACATAGATGGCGATTATTAGACGCGCGTGCACAAGTATTAAAGCACGTAAGCACAACTCCATTAGACACGCATAAAGGCGTCGAATTTCAAAGCGAATGTCAATTATGTGGTAAAGTTAGCAGAGGACCTCAGTGTATAAATTGTAAACGATTAGCATTGGAGTGTGTAATTTGTCATATCTCTGTTAGAGGTAAATTTAATGCAGTGGAATTATCAAATTATAAATTAATAATACAATAATTTATAATTATCCTTTTTTTACATTTAGGTCCAAGCAATTTTTGTATATTTTGTGGGCATGGGGGACACACGCAACATTTAGCGACATGGTTTACTAACAAAACATTATGCCCTACAGGTTGTGGATGTTATTGCCTACAGGAAAGTTCTGCTCTCTTAAAGTTGTAAATAAAAGATAAAAGAAAGTTGTACATAGTCATGAAGATATGTAAAGAATGTTACGAGAAGATAATAAATATGTTTTTCTTTAAAAACTTTTACAATTTTTATGCTTTTTTTATTATTATCGTTCATTAAATTCATTTCTTCGTGAGATGAAGTTATTCCAAGAAATATTTCTTTCAATTCCTTCATCTCAATTACAAAAAAAGAATTGAGCATCTGCAAAATATATTTATATTGTACATTAAAAGATATTAAAATATACCAGCATAGAAATGAATTTTTTCACGAGCAAGAACTGCTTCTTTCTGCCTCTTCTTTTTTCTCGTAACACTTCTTCCATCGTGGCATTTTCTTCGTTTAATAAAACTATAAATCACTCCAGAAATTAAGTAGGATTATGTCACTAAATGACGATGGAAATTAGCCTATAAAACGTTTTAATCTGTTACTTCAAATATCATTATTTATAAAGGATTAACTTCTAACAAAAGTGGAGAAATTTTTTCTCTGCCATTTTATACAAAACTTATCATACAAGATAGTTTTACTTAAAAAACAACAATTGTTTCTAACAAATTTTATAAATTACAATACTATACAGTCTCTTCCGTAATGTTTTGATATAATTATTTAAACAAAACGTTAGAAAATTGGGATTAAAATCAATAAATGAATAACTATGAAAATCAATAGTTGACAATTTAAACCAAAACACGATTGTTGTGATGTTTTTATTATTCGTCATGAAAAAAAAGTACATATAAGCCTCTGAATTTAATTAATAACTAGTATCGATAATAATCAGCTTTATAAGGTCCTTCTCTAGGTACATCAAGATATTTCGCTTGTTCCTCTGTCAATTTCGTCAATTTTACACCAACGTGATTTAAATGCAACGCAGCGACTTCTTCATCCAACTTCTTCGGCAACATATGAACTCCGATTGGATAAGACCCAGGTTTGGTCCACAATTCTATTTGCGCTAATACTTGATTTGTGAACGAGTTGCTCATTACAAAACTGGAATGTCCTGTGGCGCATCCAAGATTAACTAATCGACCCTTTGCGAGGAGAATAATATGCCTGAAAATGAAGATCCGGAATATGAACCGAAAATATCATAAAACCGATCAAAAATCTGAGTGCAGTGTATGAGCTTAATGAGAAGTGAGTATGTCTTTAACGTTTTCCTTAAATAATTTTACATAATTTAACGTTTGACTTGTTAATATAGAAATATTTTTCATTAGTATATGATGTTCACATATATAAAAGTTATTAATTCACCTGCCGTTCTTCAATTGATATCTGTCTACTTGTGATTTAATGTTCACTTTTTCAACCGCGTTCTTCTCAAGCCATGCAACGTCAATTTCGCAGTCGAAATGACCAATGTTGCAGATTATAGCATCTTCCGGCATATTTAGAAAATGGTCACCCACTATGATGTCTTTACAACCGGTAGTGGTAACATAAATTTGTCCTTTGACCGACGCTTCTTCCATTGTCGATACCTAAAGAATATATTTGAAAATTTCAGTCAGGCCCCAATTTACTTCTATCGCAATTTTTGACCAATACTAATTTAAATACACTTCATGCGTATGATCTTTGATTTAAGATCACCTCGTATCCTTCCATGGCAGCTTGAAGCGCGTTAATAGGATCAATCTCCGTGATTATCACACGTCCACCGAGTGCTCTAAGACTTTGAGCGCAACCTTTTCCAACATCTCCGTATCCAGCGACCACACAGACTTTTCCAGCAATCATGATATCCGTCGCTCGTTTGATACCATCGATTAACGATTCTCTACAGCCATAAAGATTGTCGAACTTACTCTATTCGACAATAGAAAATTATTTCACATTACACATTAAATTATTTTATATTAATTATATCTGATATCAGAAAGTCAAAATAAATAGACAAGACATAAAATAATTTGTAAGATTGCAGAAATTTTTCCTCTGTAATCAGAAAGGCAAAAAATCAACAAAATATACTTATTATATTTTCTTTTTGTAATCTTCAATTAAAAAACAAAAAAGATTTAGTTCTTTGATTTTGTCATTTTGTTATATCTAAATTTCTTGGCAAGACTTGTAATAAGTATGTATTTTATTCTGCAACAATCTAACAATTTCTTTTTTTTTCAGGTTGAAATATTCTTCCTATTTTTCGAACATGGTGCAACGAACCTTCGTTACTGAGTCGTTCACATTTATAGCAGGAACTTTCAAAGTGCCTTCTTTCATCATGCGATATAGATTGTGAACTCCGGTTGTTGTCTCCTCGGAAATACCACGGCATTCCTTCAAATATTCTGGGAATTTGGTGTGCACGAAGTTGGTCAAATCACCACCATCGTCAAGAATCATGTTCAATGGTTTCCCATCTTTGAATATGAGAGTCTGCTCTATACACCAGAGATATTCTTCGTCGGTTTCGCCCTTCCAAGCATACACGGGAACCCCCGTTTTTGCAATAGCTGCTGCTGCATGATCTTGCGTGCTGAATATATTACACGAGGACCATTGAACCTATTGATGTAGAAGTCATCGCGATAACGAGTCATTAACATTTTTGTTGACTTTTGGAGCAAAGAAACCAAACACAAAAATATTTCTATACATCTGTATAATATAGAACAAAATATGACGAAACTGTACGAAACAATTTTTTGATATAAAGTCAATATATACGTACGTATAATGCATACAAGTATGTTGAGATAATTCATGTTTTCTAAATTTTTCATTATTTTGTATATTAATTTTTTTGCAATATTTTGATATTTTTTGTTCATTAATTTGTTGAAATGTTTCACATTTTTTTATATGCAAATAATTTTATTATCGAAGATTGCAATGTGTAGCTCTAAGTATTGCGACATTAATCGGTGCTGTTACATACAGAGTGTCTCAGCTAAATTAATTTGAGATTAAATGATTTCAATAATATGGTTCTTTGGATCGTTGAATTTGTCTTTTTATGTTCTGTAAAAATATTAAAATATATATATATATACGGTTTCATAAAAAAAATTACTGATAAAATCTTACAGAAAACTGATTTTGAGAAAAATTTATCTCCACCGTTAATATAACCTTTGAAATAGTGTAATTTATTCTGAGAATTTTTTTCATACAATAAATAAAATAAATATTTAGATAATCCCATTTAGCTGTACAACACTCTGTATATGATCGAGTAATCTGAATGATATCTAGATATTGAATTGTTCGATTACGTCAATTTATATGACGTTAAAAGTGTAACAAGATTTATAAAAGAGTCGCGTAGTACTCTGTTCTTTGCCTGTAAATTTTGTACTCGAAATGTAATACTCTAAAGTATAATAGAAAACAGCATTAAAATCCAATTTATATTTCGAATCAAAATTAAGAATATATCTTTATGAGATTTCGTTTCAACATACTTCTTTTTTGTCAAATTCATTTTAAATTACAAATGTGATTAAGTTACAAGCAATTTGGATATTAAAATTCAGATCCACAACATTTTTAATGAATCACGATAGTGATAATAAGAAATCATTATTGTTGATTAATCTAAATTTTCTTACATAAGAATCACATTGCTAGATACGATATTATCATTGCGTCATAGAAGTTTATGATATTTATTTTCTTTTTCATAACTTTAAATAAATTTAAAAGTGTATTATGTTTCATAATAACGACAAGAGACGTCAGCCTCGCTTTTTCTGATCTTGATCTTTGAAGATGAGTCAAAAATTTTCCGATGTCTGATATGATTGTTGACGAATGTTGTAAAATATGCAGGGTCACAATTTGTGGAACGATCTATACATGTATAAATGCGTACTAGTTTCCTCATCGTATTTTTTTCTATTCTTATGCCTTCAAATATTTTGCAATAATTATATTTCTCGCGCAATAAATTTTCAGAACTAAATGTGTCTTTAACCCGGGATTACCCACCTGGGGGTCTAGGGGCCAGGATGTACCTGCACTAGACTCCCACGTAGGTAATCCCGGGTTAATCTCCGATTTCGAATATCGAGCATCGGACACGAAAATGTGAAACACTAATGTGAAAAGATAACTTGATTGTCTTTTCTAAGGGGACATCGTACTTAAATTTAGCTATCAGCTCAGCCTTTGATTTTTTATAATTGATAATTATAATGAACGTAGATATATTTGGTGTCGTATGATATAATATAATCGTATAATGTCCAAACAAGTATCTAGAATGAAATCTATAAGATGTAAGAAGAATAAAAGAATTTCAGAAGAAGAAATTCCTGAGGGCAAAGACAGTAGTCAATTGATACTCATTGGAATAATACACATAAACTAGACTTTTTACGAAAATTTACAAAACGGTGAAGATGATTTTTTCTGAGATTGTATGTTATCATTAACGTCTATATATTGTACTTGTTCTAGCAAATTCGCAATGATGATCTCATTGATGATTACTTCAAACGGCATCATATGTTAGAAAAATATCAAAATTTCATGATGAATACCATTTGAACAAGATGATTATTTCCAATGATATATCATTTTATTTGAAGTGATACCTCGTCACTAGTCAATAAATTACTGGTAGATGAAAAACAATTTTCGAGGGCAAAGGGTTAACTTACCTCAGCCCCAAGTTCAACGAGAGTTTCGATGAGAACGGCAGTCTGAACTGTCATATGTAAGCAGCCAGCAATTCGTGCACCTTTCAAAATTTTTTCTGGACCGTATTTCTTTCTTATGGCCATGAGACCGGGCATTTCCTTCTCCGCCAAATTAATTTCCTTTCGTCCCCATTCCGCCAATGACAAGTCAGCTACAATTGTTAGAAATTGGCATTGTTCATTGATACATGATTAAATTAATATTTTTTTAAAATTTCATTTTACAATATATCCTTAAATGTTTCACTACTAAATTGAATGAAAAATTGTGTAGAGACGAATATTCTATTCTATTATTTTTATCAATATAGAACAATTACATATCATTGATAAATTATGATGTGCTATTTGTAAAACTTAATTCAACAATCGGTTAATCGCTATACTTTGACGATATGCAATTCATATTTCAACATTTTTTCTTTCACGATTTTTTCTATCCAACATCCAGTTTATTTAATCATGTGCTTTAAATAACGTGCAACGAGGTTAATTTACTCCAAAATAACAACCACGTATCTGATTAAACTATTCTAAAATTCATAATGGTACTTACCAACTTTAAAGTTAGAGTCGCAAAACATTTTTATTCGTAGAAACAATTGTTACACAGAAATAAAGTCAAATTTTTAATTTGAATTATGAAAACAAAACCCACTCGACAAATGTTTCACCGGCAAGTCGCGGTAAGGTACTCGCAACTCGTGAGGAACGTGGATCATTTTAACAAATTCCGCTAGGATCCGTAACTACTTAATCACGTGAACAATGTTTAAAAATTTTGGCGGGAGAATAGAATTTTATTATTTCACATAATTATTTGCTTCTCCTATATTTCGTACCTTGCTTTCTTCGTAGATTTCTTTATTTTTTTGTTTTTTAACTCAGTTTTAATTTCGCCGTATCATTTGTATTTCGATAGATAGAATCAACTGCGCTACAAAAGTTCAAAACTCCAGATATTTTTGTGTTTATAGATTACATTGTTTATATTTACTATGAAAATTTAATTCCTAAAAGAACTTACTCTTATTTTTCGGAATAACAAAGAAAAATGATTGGAGAGGGATAGAGTTAAGGATAAGTAACGAAACAGTCGAATGTCATTTAAAGGAATTGATTTACTTAATCAATTTAAATAAATATAAATACAATACAATTTACAATTAAATTTTACGATATAATTATTCAAATGAGTGCTTTGATGGCAACATTACAGCACAAACGAGGTATATGAATAGACTTCGCATACAATGTACACAATTTTTTGTCTCACGATTCGGAGTCCTTGCCATTTTCGTGTCGTACCGATTTAGGTTTTGCACTGCAGCACTACTAGTAATGAGAATTAAAATCAAAAAGTATGGACAATATTGTCATATCTGCTTCGAGAGTTATTTATTGAATTGAACGTGGTACTTCATCAATGAAAGAATATAACGATTTAAAGCAGTGATTGGAATGAAAGATTTATTATATATTTGTTTATTTACATCTATTTAAAAGTATTAGAAAAAGTTGATTGAAATATAATTTTTAATTTATATTGAAAAAAGTTGTGATAAATCTATGAAACGAAAAATATGGATAGTTTTTTCTGATATAGAGTAGAATGATTTAGGTTATTTCGTCTATGGTTACTAGCATTTCAGTATTGAAAGTTTGCAAAACACTGTAGTCTCAAAAATCACTAGTTGTTGGTTCACTAGTTCTCCAATTCACCGTTGTTCCAACGTAGAGTGCGCTAAAATACCAGTAATTTTTTAGTCGGTATTACAGGTCACGGACCACGAAATTCCGCAAGATGCAATGCCTACTCATCACCCTGTCGGTGACTTTGTCTGTACTCAATGATAATACTTTCGAAATAATCGACAGATGTCTCCATAAAACATTTTATTTCTTTAGACTGGTAAAGTAGATCTCTTCACAGACTATATTTCTCATAATAAAAATAATCAAAATACGTATTTAATATAATTTAAATTTATAATGTGTAAAGATTTTACTAATTGCTATATGTACATATTATTTAATTGTTTCTTTCTACAAATTCATCAATGATATTACATCGATTATTTCGTAACAGATTCAAAAAATAAAAATAAAAAGATTTAAAAATTCATATTTATGTATAAAACGTATACATTAATTTATAATTATTATTCTATTCGCAGACTTAAACTAGTTAATTCGCAGAATTATATAACCTATACAAAATTTAGATTTCAATAATAACAGATTCTAGACACATAAAATCTCTGAGTATTGTTTTTATTATAAAGAAATCAGAAGAGAAAATTGAGAAGCGGAGAATTCCACGGATATCGTTCCCGCACTGAAATCGAATTGACAATTAAGTATTTAGGGTGGCTGCGGGTCGCGTGTCAGCAAGAGTCATCTTTGCCAGCATGATCGTACGTAAAAACATATGGTTTCTACATGGGGTTTACAAGTAGGAGACTCTCGAAGACTCGATGAAACAATTTTCTACAGACCTCTCGACTATCGTATTTATTGCTTTTTGGAGTATTTTATAAATATTACAAAAGTAAATCATATTATATTTAACATACAACATACAAATTAAATTATTGTTATATTTTGCTTACTCTAGTGTCTCGAATCGTTGAGTTATAAATGATCATAATAATAACATCGTTGAGTTGTAAATGATCATAATAATAATAATAATAATCCATAATAATTCATTGTTAGATTTCTAAAATTTAAGGTACCCATTTTTATTTTGTATTTTACATTTCCCATGACAGAATTAAATCGAAAATATTAAAGCTGTGCAATTTAATTCTAAATTGTCATAGTTCCTAAGGATCCAGTGATATGTATTCTAATATTATTCTGTATTATTTATTCTATATTAATCTATTTTATTAATATTCTATACTATTTAAACATGTACCTGCCAGAAATAAAATTGTCAATTTCCAGGTCCACCGTTTTATTTAAACGAAAATATTGAATTTGAAAACGATCTCGGGGGAGATTAGCCGTGACATCGACACTTTTATGTGATATTTCTGGATATGGGCGCAGTTTTCCACTTGGTTGCTCGAGCATCAAAAATTTCGTGTAATCAGATCTAAAGACGTCCCCGTAAATTCCCACCCGCAGTCCTGTTATATTATTGTACGTAGATGACCTTATGCGGGATGATATAAACCTCGTACCACGTGTCAGAATCCGAATTTCTCGTTCTCACGAAATATGAGGGCATAGGTCCTCAATTAATTGCTCGTCAATGTGGACTGTGCTTTTTGACCGCGAAGAATTCACAACGAATACGATTTGCTCTCGGCTGCGTGAGAATCTATATGTAAGTATACATCTATGTACTTTGATACTTCATTGGTCCTTTTCAGAATTGCTTTAGAAAATTCAGTACAATGACGATCGCTTGTATTTGTATATATGTATACTTGTCTATTATGCTGAATAAAATTTACTTTAGATTTGTTATTTAGTTTGCAATTATAATTGTATTAGTTTGTATTTTAATATTTAAAAGATTAATATGTTGAATTAGTAGATATGCCTCTAGATTTATTTTTGAAATTTGACTGACATATCATTCTTCAAATAAAAGATTGGAATAGTAATATTTAATGTACTTACATAAGAAAGATACCTAAAAAATCTTTACTTTAATCTTTAATTTATTTTATCAAAAATAGTATAATACGTAATTATATTAATTATATATAGCATAATTATATATTAACGAATTGTAATATTAATTATATCTACAGTGGTACTACAAAAATATATAACAGTGAATTAGAAACGATCGACGAAATTAAAAATGGATAGGATTTTACAGTGAAATATGTAGCTCAATAGAAATTTATAGGTTGATTTCAATGTATATAAATCAGGGTATCATTACGAGAAACACCCTGCACGTGTATACAGAACGGGACAGCAACGGATGTGACTACGTTGGGTTAATAAGGATGCGACGTCATCGGGTTGCGACGTTACATCTTCTCCTTTGAATCACGATCTCCGAATCTAAGAGTGCAATTAAAACACCAGCCTGATTATCCTTACAATTAAACGTAGCAATTCGAGAAAAATCTGGGCAAATAAAATAAAATTCTATTCTATTTTATTATTACGACTCTACTATTTGATTTCAATTTATTTTATTCTCTATATCGTTTAACTCAACTTGACATTTCTTATATAATTTACTAATTTTTTATTTTTAATATATCTTATTTATTTTATATTTTTCATATTTTTTTCTTCACATATTTTCATTATTTTTCATATTTTTTTATTACACAATATAATTTTAATATCTCATATTTCAATGTATTTTGCAGATATTAATTTCTTAATAATGTAACTCAATTTCCTGATTCTTTCGTACTCTACACCCTTTAACTGTCAAATTTCAATATCTTTAACTAACAATTGATTTTAGTTTTATTACTCTGTAGAAACAGATATTTTATATTCATTAAAATTATTGTCGTCAAATGTATTAATGAATAATGTTTAGAGACTTATTAACAATTTAATTTGCCAAACTGTATAACATGCATTCTACACCCTTCAATCTTTATAATTCATAATTAATAATCTAATCAATCTCATTCTACAGTTTACAGTTCACTCCTCGTAACTCTCAAATTCACCCCTTATGATCTTCATTCCGTTCATCGATAATCTAATTTAGCTCGTTCTTCACCCTTTGATTTTCAAATTTTTCAACAATCTAATTTAGTTATATTCTACATTCTTCGCACGTTGCTCTACTTTTTTAACTTTACATCTTCGATTAATGTAGATTTTCTGAGTTTCCAATCACATGTAAATTCATCAATTTAATATTATCAATGCAACTCACAATATCATCAATTGTCATTGCTAGAACTATAAATACAGGAACAATTTTACAAAATTTCAAGAAATTGAAATGTGAGGACATCATAATAAAAATGTTTAGGACAACATAATAAATTATTGCTTGGTCCTTAATAAGTTAATTAGAAACAGAGTTCGGTGCACTCTCTAAAACAAGTGTATAATTTACAATCGGTATAATTATTGAAAGCTGGAGGCTTAATTTACACCTACTCAACAGGTGGTCTCACGCCAGCCAAATACACCTGTTGCATTCAATACACATGGTCATGTTCATTCTATTTCGAACGAGGAATTTATCTTTCCTATGAATCAAATCTCAGGTAAAATTATTGAACATACATTGTGAGTATACCGAAATATTCTTGCTTCTGATCGAGGGTGTGGATCGATCGTCAGTATTTCTTTTCCTCAAAATATAGCAGCCGAGTCTTCGTCGTTGGTCATCTTTCCACGCTTTGACGCGTGAAATGTACCAGCATGATATAAAGTGACTAATGCCAATGACTGTTGCTTGTTCGCCAAGGTTTCATGGGGGTGAAAAAAGGGAAAAAAAGAGAGAAAGCAACGTGATCATTGTGATCGCGATCGGGGAATCTCGCGACGGCCATGTGGGCACGTTAATTCGACCACGGCTGTCATAATTGCTTTTTCTGATGGCCATTATCCTGGTACCGGTGATATTGTACTACGTATGGCTTTTGGAAGCTTAGAGAACGTGAACAGGGTGAAATTTTTTCCTCATATATTTTTCCATAAGATTCTTATTTTTTGTCATTTTTTTAAAAAAAGCGAATATTTCTCTATATAGTTGATTTGTTATTTGACATATGTAAATATCATTAACGCTTCAATTATGAAGATATAAATAAATATAACATTTAAATGCCTCAACATAACAATGACTTTGTCTTTCTATTACTAGAAAACTATAGGGGAAAGGACATAAATAAGAAAAAATTGGTCACTTTGCAATAAATAAAATAGAAATGAATGGGAAATATATTAAGTGCACTTCATTATAACAAAACTTTCCAAAACTTAATCATTGTTTGAAAAATTTCATGCCAAACTTGTTGTACAGAATTTAAGCAATACTTTCATCTATAAACATAGTAATCTAGATCACTAGCTAGACATTTTTTCAAAAATATTCAGAAGACCATCCTTTCAAAAAATTTCCATCCTCAAATATTATTCCTATGTAAAACTATTGTTTTAAACAATCTATCTATTAAGAGAATTAGTTTTGCACAGCAATTCTTATTGAAACTAGTTATTGTTAGATTCAGACTGTAACCTGGAGGAAGTCCTGAGAATACGTCGATATCAGAGCGAAGAGAAAAACGCGAGCATGGTTGGCGAACAGAGAGCGGAGGTTCCCCGTCGCCTTCGCGCAATTACGTCCAATTGAACTAATTCAGTCCAATTGACGTTAACAGGCTCAATTGGTCGGCCCTGCCAGCCTGGCCACACGGCAATACTATCCGGTCGGCATACCTACGACGTAAAAAAAAGCGGCTCGCGTGCAAAAAGTCGCCCTGAAACCCTCCTCTTCATCTCGTTTCTCTTTGTCGTTTGATCTAAATATACTTCTCGGCAAGAGAGAAGTATCTTTCCCTTTGTCTGCTTATTATTATCTTTACATAGAAGGTTGTATTTTATACACATTCATATGGTGTAAAGTTCTGTTCTGTTTTAAAAAATAAATATGAAAATAAGATGTAATATAATATAAAGTAGAATCAGAAAAAATGAAGGATTTTCTAATTTTAAACAAAAATCCTGAGACTCCAATTTTAACAAAATTATCTATTATATTATAGAGAAAGATATTAATGTATATTTTGAGAAATTGCAACATGTGAATACTGTGTTTGATAATTAATGTTAGAATATACTCTTTTGAATTATAAATTAAATTGTCACAAATTGTTGGAAAATTTGTTTTTTGGATATAAGAGAAATGTAAACAGAATTCTCGTGGGATAGAAGAGCGAATAAATGTAAGTTACAGCGTTCTCCACTGTTGAAGGAGGATATTATCGGAAGGGGAAGAGGTGGAGTCGAGAAACTCCTTCTATTCTGCTGGTAGAAGTGGTGGGAGTCCAACGTATCGTGTCCATTTCATTTTTATCTGTCTATCAGGTTTCTATCCCTCTCTCGCGCCGTCAGAGTCGTTGGTGGGAGATAATTGTTTTGTCTTTTCTTTCTTCCGCTGCCGATAACCACCACTTCGATATATGTACATATTTCTTTCTTATTTAGCAACTATTGATTCTTTATATATATATATATATATATATATAGCATTTTACAAGATATATATTATTGTAACATATATATTGCATGTTACAAGATATATATTAATATTTTTTTCAACAAAAATTAAAAATATTCAAATTTAGGATTATATAATAACAATAATAAGGTTTTTGTACGATTTGGTACGATTCTTGATTAATTTATAAATATTGAATATTAAATACAATTTAAATGTAAAAAATTGTTTATTATCATACTTATATATATCATATAATATTTACGAAGATTTTAAATAATATACCTTCGCAGAATTAACATTTACGGAATTTATACTAATGTATCATATCACAAAGCGAAATCAAAAAATCACTTAAATTGAGAATCATTCTAATTCAAGTCTATACTTTATCATTAAAAAATAATTGTACCAATAACTTGTATAATAATTATACCAATATACGACTCTATAACGTATTCGTTTTAATTTAAAATAGACACACATCTATTTTCAGTGTATATAACATCCAAATAAGAAGAAATTACATGATTTTCTGACAAAAATTTATCCAAAAATCACTGCACACTTATAAAAAAACACGTTACTTGCACGAACAACGTATTAAATCGGAATCTCTATTTCGAGTCCCTCCGATTTCAAATTTGGCGCGCTGCGAGCTGTCACTTTCACTGAGCGCACGTGTTTCCTGTTGCACTGCCAGGGTAGCATCGCCGTTCGGTCAGAATCGGGCAACATCGTACCCATCTAGACCTCGTACACATCTTTTCATCCGTTTTGTCCAAGAAATTCACCTTCCACAAAGTTTCACAAAATCACTAATCTAAAAGATGTTTCCGAAATTAAATTGTACGAAACGAACACACTTCTATAGCTATGTATATGAACATATATGAACACATATATATGTATGTATGTGTATATATATATATATATATATATACATGAACATATGATACAAGACACGAAATATCCGACTGTGCGAGCAAGAAAAAGGGGTCGAAAAGAAAGTCGTGCAGAGGGTCAGTACAGGAGGCGACCCGTTACTGCAGCCCGGCACCACCGGACCTTCACTTATATCGTCTCTCGGCTAATAACGCTAGTAATGTGATATGATTAGCTTAGTTGAGTTCAGTTTAGTTCGTATTCGTTCAATTTAGTGGTTCGCCAGCAAAATCACATCGAGTTAAACCCATTTAGGCCAGTTAAGTTACCGACTTCTCGCTCTTGCGCGCTCGCCGTCATCCTCCCTGTTGCCGTCGCCTCCTGCATCCACGGATATCCTGCAAGCGCGAGTATCGTGCGCGCGCGTCCGCGTTCACCCGCATTCAATCATCTTCAACTTCCATCGAAGTCCGATTGACGTTCAAGTTCAAGATATGGGGAAAATTGAAAATTCTCGGAACTTCTTCTGCCCTTGGTCCATGAATTCCGTTTGAAGATAGTTTAAGGTTAGGTTCGAATCTTGGAAACACTATGACAGTAGAAGAGATGTGTATTATATGATAATATTTATATGACATGATTATTGTATATATTTGATTTTATATGATTTGATTGTATATTTCTATGATTTAATTATTATATGATAATAAATAAAAACTTCAATAAGAACTGATTTCTTGAATTAATAAGACTGACTTGGATAAAGTAGCGTACAAGAGATACAGTAATCTATAATATACGAGTACATCAGTATATCGAATATATTATAGAAGGTTTTTTGTTGTAGTATATTAAGAAACATTCGTCATCAGTGTACATTCGTTACAATTGGAAAAAAAACCTGTTAAAATGTAACCATTATAGAAACTGCTTATTTGCAGAATAACAATTATCTTTCTTATACAATCTTCATCAAACAAATACAAGAAAAGATATTTACATGAATTCATATATTTGAACTGCATCATCCAAAACCTCCAAAAATTAAGAATTGAATTCTTGAATTAATAAGACTGATTGGTTAAAGTAGTGTACAAGAGATACAATATACAAATACACGTATATTATAATAGTTTTTTATTACAGTATATTAAGAAACATTCGTCATCAATGTACATTTGTTAGAATGGAAAAAAAAACTATTAAGATGTGACCATTATATAGATAGATGAAACTGCTTAATTGCAAAATAACAATTATATTATCTTCCTTATATAATCTTTATCTAACAAATGCTCATCTTTGAAAATAAATTGATAAAACAAGAAAAGATATTTACATGAATTCATATATTTGAACTGCATCATCCAAAACCTCCAAAAATTAAGAATTGAATTCTTGAATTAATAAGACTGATTGGTTAAAGTAGTGCACAAGAGATGCAGTATACAAATACACGTATATTATAATAGTTTTTTTATTATAGTATATTAAGAAACATTCGTCATCAATGTACATTTGTTAGAATGGAAAAAAAAACCTATTAAGATGTGACCTATTAAGATTATATAGATAGATGGAACTGCTTAATTGCAGAATAACAATTGTATTATCTTTTTTATATAATCTTTATCTAACAAATGCTCATCTTTGAAAATAAATTGATAAAATAAGAAAAGATATTTACATGAATTTATCTATTCATCTGACTGCTTCATCCAAAAACCACCAAGATCGTCCTTCATTTAAATTCCATCCTTTTATCATTCTCAAGCCAGACATTTCTATTCGCGGGGATAATCACGGGATCCATGGATCTGGAATAAACAGACTCGTTTGACAAAAAGGAGGATGGACGCGGGAACGGTGGCGCGATCGGTACCGCGCGGAGCAACGGAAAAGATGCACCGCAAGAATGGTAGGGGAGGAAGTGGAAGAGTGTCCGCGAGAGTGCAATTAAATCAGCGCGTGACAGGCGCGCGCTCGCGCGCGCTAATTACCGCCGATGAAATTAGCAGTTAATATACGCGTGTACACACGGAATGGGGGTAGTTTGATTGGGCCAATTCGAGGCAATTCCTGGCGATTGCTGGTTTCATTGAGCCTGCGCTTAAGAGCTCAGTGCCATGCTGCCGGTCAACGGACATGGATCTCTTGGAAAGTATATAGGTACTCTTACCTTTCTCGTCCTTCCGATCGATCGTCTTCTCATGAATCGATCGATAGATCTCGAACGTTCTCAAGACCGTCCGGTTCAAGTGCGTGTTCGCCGAAAGCGACTGACCCGGGAACGACGCGACGGAATGGTGCTGAAGCGAAATTGCGGGACGATTCAAATCGTGCGTGTGACGCGAATCGATGTGGAGAACCGTGCATTCCGTCGACGAAGGATCGCTGACGCGGCGGACGCACGTCGATCGTCCCCGAGAGCGCATTGTCACTCTCGAATTGTTTGATCGGGGTTCAAGGTTCCGGTTCAAGGACATCTGCAAACAGAGACGGGAAACTGATAACCGATACGGATGTGACCTGAGCTTGGGATTGAAATCGAATGGCGATGCTTTGATGGAAAATGGATTTCTCGGAACGATTGAAACTATTCTAGAGAATGGAGCGAGACACGTGGATCTGGAAATTCAGGTAACGCGGTTGCGATATTTGATGATGAAAATTGAATTTTAATGTTTTTCGATTTGTTCGTGTTATATTGTATGAAATTGTCTGAGCCTTCCTCCACATGGTTTTGATATTTGCTAGTAATGCATATAATTAAAAGCTTCGCAATTTAAGAAAATAATTACCTAATTGATATTCGAATTGTACTCTGATATCCATTCTTGTTCTTTTTAATTATTAACTTAATTACTTGTGTTTTGAGAAAATATTGAAAAGTTGAAACATAGACCACCAATGACATATGTATATCAGACGGCTTGAGTAATTCCATGCGAAAGTTCAATTATAAGTAACGTCATCGTTGGAATATGTAGCTGCTCCAATTCTCTGCGTAAAACTATGTAATGTGTCATATCTGTTACGTTGTGCATAATTACTTCTACTGCATTAACGATAAACTCTTAACTGTCTGTAAATTTTTATAAAAATCATTCTCTTTAAGAACGTCTGTTTTAATTTTCTATGGAAGATTTTATACATCTACAATATCTGCTTGTTTAAGTTTTAAAATTCTAATTAGAATCTTAGACAAATCATTTTATTGACATTTCTTTTAAAAGTACCATTGTCTAAGTTTATTCATCTTACTTTGTAGCATTCCAGTGCATGCGCTCCGTGCATCATTCTCCCTAAACCTGAATTCGCGAATGGTACAACTAAACAAATCAAGAAATCTTGCTTCCACTATACTTGAGCTTTGTCTTACACAGTTAACAAAGATCCAAGATATTCATCAACTTTCCTTGAATTTAAAAGGAATTTGCTATTCTTCGTCTTACTTACATCCTGCAACAGAAAAAGAGAAAGTAATTAAAGTAATTAAAATAAAAATAGTTATCGAGTTAGTCATCCCTAACAACTATCGAATCATCTTTAAAAGTAAATTTTTCGTAAAACCACCTTATTTCTCCTGCATACGCAGCGCGTTCTCTCTGCAATGATCATCGTTCCAAGAAACATCGAGGTCGTCGTGGGTCAAGCGCAAGTTATTCACGTTCAAAATGGAATCGTGGCGCACAGAATTTTCCCATCGCTGTGGATCGTGCACAAGTCAACCCGCTCCGATTCCCACATCGTCCTCTCTCCCTTCAACATCATCCTCTGCAACATTACCTAGCGCACATCGTGCATCAAGGCGGCGTTCTCCAGCCTCTTTATCCGGGGGCGGTCGTAACGCGATGATGCGACAGTGGCCATAGCCACGAGACCAACGAGAAAGACCCTCGGTACTCCGACTCCGAGCAGAGAAGACATCGACAACGAGAAAGATGCGGTACATATTTACCCTATGTACATCCAGCCAATACCATGAAGAATCGTTCCACTTGCAATTAGAGTGGTGGACGCCGGACAGAGGAAAGGCAAGAAAGCGAAAAAGAAAAGGAAGAAAGAAGCAAAGAGAAGTGACAGAGGCGAGGAGGGGAGAGGGTGGTGACTCTCTTCTATGCAAGGGGGATTAAAAAGAGAGACAGACAGACGTATACTCGGATGCAGAATGGAAAGGGAGAAAAAGAGAAAGAAAGAGGAAGAAATATGTATGTACATACATACAGGAGAACGGCACATACCGCGCCCGCATAAAACGGCCATCCTCTCGTCGAGCACGTAACGCGTAGTAGGTGCTACAGGATTGGTTGGCTTCTATGTGTGGGGGCGGCCTGGCCGGCAACCCGTTGAAAATATAAGCGTGTGTGAGTGTCGGTTGATTAGCCACAGTCAGGACGGATCGTCGCTTAGTGCGACAGTGTCCGGTTAGTTAGGCGGCTCTTGTTGTTTCGCGCGATCAACTCACCCGGTTCTCGATATATAGAAAATTGAGCAAAACTCGTCGAGCTGCAAGAGAAACAATATACATAGTCATTGAGAAAATCATTCGTCCCCTTTTCTTCTTATTTTCTCTCTTCTTTTCGTTTTTTCTTTTTTTTTTTTTTTTTTTTTTGTATAGAAAACGTTTCGATATTAACGATTTGAACTGAGTTCCCCCGGTTCACTCAAAGCATCGCAAAGTCTGCCCGTGTGTCGGCGACACGATGCTTGGCTCTCGCTTCGTTAGCTCGTACTAATCAAAATTAATCATAACCCGGGCAACAATTGATCGCAATTGGCTCGGATTCCATTACGGAGAACGCGCGAACGCCACGGCCGTCATCCTGCGCACCGCGCGCGCCTTTTTGCATAATTGGCCAGCTGGAGGTCTTCGCGAAGAACCCAAGAAATCTGTGATAATAAAGGGAACAAGAAGTGAATGAGAATTGAATATACTTGTCCAGGGTATTTGGAACTTTGACTGGACGACATCGATCAATTACCATTTGTTGCTACTGAGAACCAGGAAAATAGAGAATAAAGTTGAAGAGGATAACGTCGAAGAAGAGAAAACTGTTGTGTAATTTGTATTGGATATCTAAGTGAAGGATCAAATGTTTATTAATCGCGCGAAGACTAATAGAAAAACTATGCATGAAGATCGAAGAAGATAAACAACTGTCGAGGGAAAAGGAGGAAGAAAAAGAAGAAGAAGAAGAAGAAGAAGAAGAAGAAGAAGAAGAAGAAGAAGAAGAAGAAGAAGAAGAAGTGAATAATTAAGAAAAAAAGAAATCTTTCTCGGTATTAGAAAGTATTTAAAGGAGAAAAATAAATATAAAATCGAAGTTTGTGAAACTGTTGAAAACGGACAAATACGAATTTATATTAGAGATTGAAAGAAAGAGTATATATTTATTCTTATTTATTAAAAAGAAGAACCTTCTTATTTAATTGTGATAATGAAATCGCGTGTCTTTTAAAATGTCAAGAATGTTTAAGAAACGAATCGATAATTATCTCATGATCATTATTTAACGCTAGAGAAATAATCTGGCATTGTTATTTGTTACTCGAAGAATCGAAAAGAGAAAACAATTGATATTTTCCAATTTGTAAAAAGAATTTTCAATTTGTAAAAAATGGACGGAGGTCCCTTCGATGACCCAATCTTCTCTGATTTCGGTGGTCGAGGAGGTTCAGGGGTTCATAGTATTCAAGTGATGCTTGGCCTTCATGGTGGACATCATGGTGGTGATTTAATGCCCACTGGAGGCCATCTTCACAAGTTGGACTCTTCCAACAGTCCGCCGCATCATCAAACGGCTCATCATCATCTGCAACAACAACAGCAACAACAAAAGGAGCTGAAGGAATTGGAATTAGCTGGAATGTATGCACCTCTTCCTCAGACGCAAGATGTTACCACGTCAACGTCCACCGCTGCGACACCGACCTCAACGACATTACAGCAAGGTCTGCAGCTTGGAAATCCTTTGAAAAGGAAACCAGAAGATCCGATGAACACTCTTGCCCCAGGTTAATATTGTATTTTATAAGATCCCTACTAATTTGAAGAGACACTTCTGAAATTTATATTGATATAAAGCAATAAAATTGTTGAAAAAAAGTAATAATTGTATTTAAAAATATTAGCATTAAATATTATTAAATATTAAACTATTGTTAAATATTAAAAGTTGATTAAAAAAGTGTAACCAATTTTGGATTGATGGAAATTTAGATTTTAAAAGGAAATTAAGATCAGTAAATTAATAATAACTGATTTAAAAAAAGAAACTGAATTGAATAGAATTATTATATTGCTAAATCATTATGTTATGCAATTTAAGTGAAATAATATTTATATTACAAGGAATAATTACTAACGATTTTACATTTTGTTGATTTCTATTTACAGTCAGTAGTGAAGCTCAACCAGCTAAAAAAGATTCCAAGAAGAAAACTGACAATAATGGAATTAAAAAGAAAAAGACTAGGTATATATTTCTTTAAAATTATTTAAAATTAAATTCGTTGTTTATTATAATTCTCGATCCTTTCTTTTCCACCATTAAAAAAAAAAATCTATAAAGACTTAATTTAAAATTAAAAATATCGTTATACCATCATCGCGCCACATGTCTTGAATTTTTCGGTAATAATCATATTTCACTGAAAAACACAATTATATAATCTAAAACTTTGACTATTATTACTAGACTGTAGATCTTTATGCAATTTGAAATTTTTATGAATTTTTATGAATAATTAAAGAAACAAAGCTAAATATTAGAATAAGTATCATGTTTTAGATATTTTGTATGTTTTTGCATATTGTGTGCATTCTTTTCATTGGCATATTTTCAAATTTCTCATTAAAAAAATCCACAATCGTCACCATCCAATGAACATTTCAATTTCATTGTACAAATTAATTATTTCAGAACAACATTTACCGCTTATCAATTGGAGGAGTTGGAACGAGCGTTTGAACGTGCACCCTATCCTGACGTCTTCGCACGGGAGGAACTGGCTTTGAAACTTGCTTTATCAGAATCAAGAGTTCAAGTTTGGTTCCAGAATCGACGTGCAAAATGGCGGAAGAGAGAGCCTCCACGCAAAACCGCCGGTTACATGGCTGCTGGTTCAGCAAGTCCCGGTTTATCAGGTAATCATAACAAAAATAACTGATATTTGTCTATGCTGATTTTTTGTCATCCTCTAGTTTTATTCTTACTTTATTCCGAAATTATACTAAAGTATTAAAAATATGGTACTTCAACTTTTTTTTCTAAAAACAGATGCGACAAACAATATTTTGCAAAATCTAAATAGAAATTATCCAAAGGATTAAAATATTTTTTCGAATATTTTATTCATTACCGATTTAATGTAGTTATTGAAGTTATGAATGAGGAAAGGAAAATTTGTAATTGTTGTTCACTATTAATCTCTCATTTTCAAAAGCGCATTTAATTCATCGATTTTTACAAACTCAGTTGCATTGAAAATATTGCAAAAATTTATAAGAATATTTAATAGATTGATATAAACTAGTAAAAATTGTAATAGATACCAAATCTTTTAATAATAAATAACACACTGCTAACATCTGAAAATTCTCTTTTTAGCAGGGTCATTTACTTCGTTGAACAATACTCTCAACCCCTTCGCTTCTCCAACGACAGCGACGGCACCACCAGATGCCTGGGCGTATTCTCCAGCGTACGATCTGGCGCCACATTTGAACTTACTTAGCCCGTCTAATTCTCCATACTCTACTTCTTTCGGTGGGCCAAGCAACAACGGATCAGCATACTCATACGCAACGATGCTTCCGCAACACGATGTCTCATTATTCTCTACACCATCTGGGAACACAATGCGTGTTCACCAGGATTACATGAACGCCAGTAATAGTCCACCACCTCCTCTAACTCGCAACGATTATCAGACTATGGTGACTACGCACTCGTCACCAACTCATCTAGCCAACTCCATGTCCGAAGAGGATCATCAGCAAAATAAACAACTGGATTATGTCAGTGGTCTTAGTCCAGCGGATAAATATCAACACGAACAATCTGATTACACACAACAACAACAACAGCAGCAGCAGCAAGATCAGAAACAAGAATACGGGATGCACTCACCACAAGGACGTCAAGGGATGAAGGAGCAGGTGATGGTGAAAAGCGAGCCAACCAGCCAACAGAACTACGTGCAGTTGCCTCCTTTTTTGAACTGACTCGAAACCTCCGATTTAGATTCACTGTAGAAAAATTGGCGGTTCCGGTTTGGAATAGATCTTTCTTGGCAAAGGAATATCAGGACTAAACACATAAGTGATGTTTGGAAAGATTTATTAATATTTTGTTTACGCTGAAGATGATGATAGAAGGCTTTGAGTTAAATAGAATTATCATAATTTGTTATTTTAAAAATAGAAAGAAGTTTGAGATTGGAGGTTTTTAATAGAATCTTTAATATTTTAAGAAATCTTGAAAATAAAGTCCTATTCTCCATACAGTTCCATTTTTGTATTATATAGTTTAAAAAGATTTATTGGAATTTGTATTATATAGTTTAATAAGATTTATTGGAATTATATTTTTAAAACAACATTTAATACTAAAAATATAACCATTGATTTTTCTTAGTACGAAAGTAGTCTCGAGAATTTTTTTATAATAAACTTACATATAAGAAATAAAATATTTTAAGGGAAGCAATTAATTGGATGAGAGCATTCAAGTGCCTTAAAAATATGGATCTGTACAAGATGTGAATACTTTTGTATTGTTTATCCTTTGTTCACAAATATCGAGTGAAAATGAGCATTGCTATGTTGTATTTTATTCAAGTATTCTGTAGTGTATATTAAATCATGTACATACATGCATATCGAGAGTATAAAATATTATTTGAATTTGTAAAATTTTCTATAAAAGTATTTTGTGTATGTTGTGCTCTGCTTACTTTTTCATGTTTGTAATTACTTGCAACTAAATACACTTGAAAATAAAAACATGTAATCAATTATTTGATGATGATGTGCCTTGAATAAAAATTGTTATAACCTTATATATTAATATTAAATTTAGATTTGTATACAAAAACGATTTTTAATAAATATTCAAAATAAACGATTTTTAATAAATATTGGAAAGGATTTTGTTTCAATATACAATTCATATTATTGATATTGTACAATATCAATATAAATATTACATTTTTTGTTATATAATATTACGTAGTCTATAATTCATATTATATAATATATACATAAATCATATAAAGTATAACAATCGAAAATGTAATTAAACTTTAAAAGTTTCATAAAATTGAAATATTTTGAGACAGCACAAATTATAATTTAATTAATTTACATTCTAAAATAATTTAATTAAATAAATGTATATTAGATTCAAAAATATAATGTTGTTTAAGAAAATGTCGGTGATTTTGTAAAATGTTCATACTACTGTTGTGTATAAAATTGCTAACTCATAAAGATAATTTTTAAATTTTGTTTATTAACATGCGAAATATTATACATATATCTATTATACATATATCTAAAAATATTTAATTTTGACGTTTTAAGAATCCTACTTTTTACATGTTGTTCTGTACATGTACTTAATGTTATTGTAATAAATGTTCAAACCACGCTTCTCCACTTAAATTCATTACTTCATTTTCATCGACATTCATACGTTCAATAAGATTATCAAGTTCATACACATCCTCAAAAAGATTTGATTTGAAAACTGATATTTCGACTTCCCAAACTCCATTTCCACTAAAATGATATTTTTGTTCTAATTTGTATAAGCATAATGCTAAATATTGAGTAGAAGTAAAATTATATCCATTTTGTGGAGAATATTCTTTATATGATAAGTTTAATGTATCATGAATCAGCGACCTACATTAATACATTATATATTAATCTTTAAATATATTTCAACATTTTTAAATATAATTTTCTCACCTTGGATAAAGTATAATTTGAATATTTTTACATATATCCTCTATTGAAAAATATTTCTTTAAATATTTTATAGTTTTATCTATGCGTAGTAGTGGAATGGATTTCCAAAAAGGATGTTTTTTAATAGAAGATAGTAAATGAATTTTATTATCGCCAAATTCTTTTTTCAAAATATATGACACATGTTTTGTTGCAGCTGTATGAGATAGATCACCTTCTATGTATCTAAAATTATGAATTATTATTAAAACAATTTAAATATATATCATTCTATATAATTCTTCATTTTTTATTCTATAATAATAATTACCTTAAAAAGAAATCTTTATTTGATAAGTATGTATGAGTATTTGCATTATTTGAACAATTTAAATGTTTCATATAAGTTAAACGATTCGTGATTGATTTGTGATAATAAAGCATAAATACCAATCGTGGATGTTTCAACCACACATCTAATTCCAAATTATTTGCAAAATCTGTATATCTTTCTATAAAGGTATCTTTGTTAATTTTAAAACCTTGTAAAATAGATCTATGCGACTGATTTTGTAAATCAAAGTTTTGATAAAGTTGGAATGTATTTTTTATTTTGCTTATATCATGTAACAGAATTCGAGGATATAATTTTATTAAGTCAATTACACTTTTCTCATTTAAGTTGGTGTTAAGTTCATTCAAAACTTCTTCAACATTGTTAACATCTATATTCAAAACATACAAATGTTTTTCTAGCTATGAAAAATATTGCATCGAATTAGATCATTTCCAAATATATAATATTTACTTAAATAATTGTACTTACAAATTTTTCATCAAGCTGACATTTATTTTTCAATATATCTAGCAATCTGGTCATTTCAGTAAGACTTACATATTTAAATTTTTTTCTTTTATGAAACAATTTATTATCTAGTTTCATATGATGTTTTTGATAATACATAATGCAAAATTGATAATAATAGCCAATTGTAGTATGGGTCTCATTTTTAATTATATATTTATCAATCTCATTATATGTTAGATCTACATTAGAAAATATGATCTTCATTATACTTTTGTTACGTGGAATATCAAATAATTTCTTAAAGTAGCTTGTAGATTTTTGCATCAACAATAAAAATCTGCAATAAGAAAAGTAGCTGTAATAAATAACAATCAAATTTTAATTGACTTAAAAGCTACTGACATACCGTCTAATATTATATAAATTTATAGATTTCACACCCATTTCTTTAAATATAAGTATTCTATTTCTTAAGGTTTTAGGCTGAAGCTTTAAACAGGGTATCAATAGCTCTACTTTATCTAATCTTACATTCATATTCTAAATAAAAAGAAATAAATGAATTATTACTGAGAAACAAGTTGTAACATAATATTATATATTATTATACATGTAATATTCTTATCATTAAATGTATAGTATACACAAATAATATTTACCTGCAATATTACACAATTCCGAATAATTTGTTCTTCTGGTATTTTCCTAAGTTTACTATCCACCTTATTTTCGTGAAGTATTTTGATAGCATTCCCATCAAGTTTTAAATTTGTAGCTAATATGTTACAAATTTTTGATTCAGTTGTGATAGGTGAAATTAATTTTCCAAATTGTTTTATTATAAAATTCGTTTTAAATGTTTGTTTAAACATTTCAATTTATATGTATTTACAATGAAAAAGAAAAGAAAACAATTGAGATCTTCGAAGTAAGGTTATCCCATTCAACAATATAACTAATATAATTTTTATTCATTTAAAATATAAAGTATAGCTGTATTCTGGATGCCACTGATTTTCACAATTACAAAACATAACAATTACAATTTATAGTAAAATACTGCTTCTTGTGACATTCCTTAATCATATATGAAACAATCTATTATTGGCTATCTCGATTCTAAAATAATACTACATGTAATTGCCAGCAAACTTACGAAACTTTAAACTTGTTTACATAGGCAAATAAAAAATCAAAAGAATGTGAATCTGATTGATTGTTTTGGATATGATTAATATAATTTTAAATAAAAAAATAAATATAAAAATGCACGATAACAAACAAAATGCACAATGATGGAGAGAGAAAACTAATTTTTTCGTTTCTCTTCCGTTCCAGATTTCCTTTCATTGCCGAATTATAAATGAAATAATTTTTATTTCTTATTTTAATTAATTTTGAAATAACAAAAAAATTCTAAAACTGATGTAATATAATGTTGATATTATTAAAATACAATTATCCAATTAATGTTGCAGAAATTTATTATTTTAAAGTACACAACATAATATACAATATTAATACATAAAATAATTCTTTCGTAGACGTGAGTAAAAAAGGAGATTGCGACATATTTCCCCGTTGCTGGAGCATTCTAATTTTGTAACTTTAGCTAAAATCCAATTTATATATATGTATGGAGAACACGATAAACATATATTATCATATTGATGCTTGAACGTTATGTGAAATAATCGAAACATATTTCGGCATAGCGAAATTTATATCTCTGATGGTTTGATACGTAAAATAACAGGAACGCTAGTGCATGGTAAAATGGCTAATTCTGTAACAACAGCTGTCACTAAATTGGCTGGTGTAACGTCATATACGATATTTAAAAGGTTCAACAATTTTTTTGTTCTCCAGTTCGTTAATAACGATTTTTGCGCACCGTTACTATAATCTTGTACAAGCTCATCTGCATTTCCTGTGAATAAATTGTTGATAGAAAAGAAAATTAAAAATACATAGATATATTAAGATATAGAATGATTATAAATAAATAAATTGATAATATAGGAATAAACATAAATTTTCCGTTTACCTAATTCATTGTACACAATAGAATCTGTTTGTACACGTTCGCAAGATTTATGAGTCTCGCAAGCTACTAAGACTGGAATATTAAAGGCTCTGGCCATTAAGGCAACTTGAGCGGTACCAACTCTTGACATTACCGAACCATTCGCTAATATTGCATGGGCACCAAGAAACACTTTGCTTACCTATTCATTAATCTTATTACTTCGATAATCTTAAAAAATATTTAAGTAATACAAAAACGGAAGCATCACTTTTACTTACTTCAGGCATTATATAACTTAAAGCATTAATTAAAATGTAAGAGCACTCAATTCCGTGCTTTGCTAAACGTCTAAGTTGTTCTTTTCCTTCCAGCCATGGTCTTCCATCAACGATAATAACGCGAAATTCTTTAGCTGCAGTGTGCGCATCTAATAGTATTTTATGTATCAAAGATGAACTAAAAACAGTATAAGTTTCATTGTGATTGTAGAAAATATTGAAAGATTTTCTAAAGTGAGCACTCACTAGCCATAAGTTAGGATAACATCTCCATTAGATATTTTAGTTTGAATAGTTATTGATATTGCCTTATCAGCGAGTTCTATTTGCTCCCGGATATAAGTATCTATTGCATTACTTAATTTATTCTTTACCTGAATTAATTAATTTCATTTTATAAACATTATACAAGAATATAAATTAAAAATTTAAAAACGTTACTTACATCTACATCGGATAAAGAAGAAGAAAATTGTGTCATTTGCCATTTTAAATGCTTCAATGCATTGTGCATTGAAACAGCCAATGGCCTACAATGATGCAAATAGGCTACAGATTCTTGCAAATTTGCTTCTAAACCTCGGATAAAATCAGCTTGTGGTGGTCTTTCGAAATCCTGAATAAGTTGTTTAACACCAGCTAGAAAGGCAACACATCTTGCATTGCTACCTACAATTATTTTGCTTGCATATTGTGCACCTAATCTAATTATTGCTGGATGTATATTTGAATTCACAAACGGAACATTAACAATAGCTTGTTCTCTTTCATGATATAGGTGTTTGAACAGATTTATTTCATGAATGTTAATTTTTTGAATCTTTTTCGGTAATACTTTCTTTACTGTGTCTATTACAGTAATAGTGTGTGTTGCAGATTTATTATTATTATTACTATTATTATTATTATTATCTTCTTCTTTATTCTTATTTTTATTTTTTTCTGATAAAATTTGTTGCTTAGCTGCTCTTTGTGCTTCTTGCTTGGCTCTTCTCTCAGCTCGTAATTCTGCTTTGCTTTTCCCTTCACTACTAACTTCTGATACTATCTTTTCATCTTTTTCACATATATTTGAAGTCTTAGTGATTACTGATATTTTATTAGGAGATTCAATATTTTTGTTAGTCACAATCTCTGGTGTATCATTGCTCGTTCTATTCTTAATACTATTGGAAGATGTTGATTTATTATTGTTCGAAGGATCTTTGTCTGGTATTTTAGTGGACTTAGCTTTTGCTTTAGCATGAGCTTTAGCTGCTTTTTTTGCTTCTCGTTCTGCTTTTATTTCTTCCCTTGATTTTTCTGAGATATTTCCTTTTTTGTTGGTCATTTTGATTGATATAACTGTCGATTTCTGATGTTTATTATCCTCTGCAAATAAATTTTATCAATATCATGAATTTAATTTAATAATTTTCTTATAATGTGACAAAAAAGGAACAAAAAATTCTTGTAGTTGAAATGTATAAATATTTACGGACATGGTGTGTATCTTCTTGCTCCACCATCATCATATCAGTTCTCAGTCATAGACATGAAGAATATCCAGCTGGGAATAATAATTCAACTTTATAAAATCATAAACTATTAATTAAAATATAATTTTTTGTTGATGAAATATTTATCCATTTCTGTTACCAATACAAAATTATATATATATATATATATATATATATATATATTTTTACGCTATTTTTTAAATAGACATGACGATATGTTACACAATTCACAATGTATTATGAAATATTTAGTTATTTTACAAAATATACTCAATAGCATATTTGTCAGGATACATAAATTGCATAATAACTATAAATATGTATAAAATTTAGTTTATTTTGGCAAGATTTGACAATCTATTTATTTAAAGATTTTATCATTTCATTTACCTTAGATACATGTTCCTAACCTAATGTGAATATTTTATTTTTAGTGGATGTCATAATAAAATAATTTTTCATTCAAATATTTCATATATAATATAAGTACCTTTTAACTTGCAATTGATATATATTTCTTAACAATATGTATCGTGCAAAGAACGTTTTTTCACTTTTAGTTAATGTTTAGTTATATGTACGCAATATTTTCACTATATTTCAAAGCTTTAGAAAATAGCAGTACTTCCATCTAGAGGTGTACTTGTATACTAATTCTAGAAACAAGTGTTTATATAGTTTGTCACTTCGTCTTTAGAATTACGCAAGATGTAAAATTCAATTATTAAATAAATAAATAATATAAATAATCATTTATATATTTCGACATACAAATTGAAATTGTTTTTATACTTTTATCCAAATTCTGCATCTTATCTATTTATAAAGGACAAAATAATAACAATCAAATAAGAAGTACAAATAGATTATTTTAGACTTTATTTGTACAACAATCTGTAAAATTACTTTTTCTGTGCTGCTGCAGCTTCATCTTCGCGTTGATAAGATTGCAATAATTCTTGTTTCTTTGTAGCAATACGTTCTGCTCTGCGTTTACGCGCTTCTCTAACTTTAGTACGACGCGCCTCTGCTTGATCCGAAAGCATCTCTGCTCTTGCTTTCTCGGCTTTCTTTTTATGAATAAATTCCATTAAAACTCTCTTATTCTTGAATACGTTACCCTTAGCCTTCATATATAAGGAGTGATACAGGTGTCTGTCAATTTTTTTTGTTTCACGATATTTCTTTAAAAGTCTACGAAGAACTCTCATTCTTTGGATCCATAGATCCTGCAAAGAAATAATGTAATTTATGTTCAAAATGTTATTTATACATGTAATAAAAAAATAATTTAAATGCTTTATATTATCTAAGGAGTAATTATAAAAATGTACACTTACTTTTTGAGGTGTACGAGCATTTGCTGTACCTTTTCTTTTACCAAAACCACAATGACGTCCTTTGCGTCTAGCTTCAGTATTCTTACGAACTCGAGCTCTAGAATGAACGGCAACGGGTTTTTTAATAATAAGACCATCTTTAATCAGCTTCCGGATGCTTTGTCCTTAAACATTAAAATAAATAAATAAAAGTTTATATATTATATATAAATAAAGTAGAATATTTTAAATAAAGTAGAATTTAATTTTTAAGAAACATACGAGAATTTGTGTTTGCAATTTCATTGATTTCATTGGGGTCCAACCAGACTTTCTTTTTACCACATCGCATAACAGAGGCTGCAAGCCTCTTTTGCAATTTCAACGAACTGAAACATACAAAGTGAGGTTATGTTATGCTAACGAATTGTGCTGATATCAAATACAGCATCGATTCCTTACTTTAATTTAATTTATAGAAAACTGTTATTAGAATCAAAAATTATAATTTGCTAAGTACGAAATTGTATATTTAGAAAACATCTAAATCTAAATCGTGAAACCATGTGGTTAGTCGTCAACAAATTACCAAACATAAATATGCAAAATATAATAACTTAAGCTAAATATAAATTTTTCTATTAATGTGATAAATAACGCAAATTATATTTGAGTGAATATTGCTAAAATATAACTAAAAATTTCTAAATAGTCCATACCTCATGACAGAGCTCACCAGTTTTTCTTAGCAAAGAACTTCAAGATGGCGGAATCTATATTTCCTGTACATAAAAATCAAGCGGAAGTAGCACAAAGGAATACTTTCATTTAAATAATTTTGTAATTTCGCAATTTTGTATCGATGTTTACCAAAATAACTTAAATTGAAAACTAAAGAAAATAATCATTTATCACTTTTTTCACGATGAAAAAATATTTTTTAACATATTCATATGCAAAAGTTTAAATATCTAGAAATAAAGAATTAGAATATTTAAAAATATTCTATAAATATTTAATATTCTAAAATATAAATATTCTTAAAATATTTTATAAATTAATTATATTGTTTTAAAAAAATATCAAAATAGCTTCATTAATGATCTTCAACTTAAACATATGAAAATAATTTAATAATTTAAATATTTAAATCTAAATCCATATACTTTATTGTATTTACTTGATTAAAAGCCTTATTATTAAATTGCAAATTTTTAATTGCATTTATGAAGATGCTAAAAGTAGTATTTTAGTAAAAATATTGTGAAAATATAAAATATAAAATTGCATAAATACAACAGCAGTCTGCTTATAATACACAAAATATCTATCAATTTAATTGACGAATAATCTCTCTTGCATAATAATTTATCAACTAATAATATTAATGTCTTGACGTATTAAAAAAAATTTTTTTTTTATAATATTATGACTTTATGCCAACTAGGATAATCAACTGAAAACTTTGTCCCATCGTTTGTAATTTGTAACTTACAATTAGAAAATTTCAGTAATAATATATTAACAATGAAATTGGTAACAATTGTGCCTTTGAGACGTGGTCGAATTTGTAATTTCCCGCTTAAAAGAGGCGAACGCAGTGAACAAAAACGTGATATAGAATGAGTTATATTCCATTTGTGATATTATTGCTATAATATCAATGCTGCCACTGCGAATGTAGTAGTAATTTCAAGAAAGAGAAAAAACGTGTATGTATAAGCATTTTGACACTTTCAACAGGACCGTACAAAGAAACTTTTAGTAAAGAGTCAATACACTTTGTGTCTACAATGCCTTATTTGTGTGTAATTTCTTGAAACTTTTGTGACTTGTAAATAAAACACTATTGATTAAAAATTATTATTTTTTAGTCGTGACATCTGATGTCAAGACGTCTCAAAATATCAGTCGGTGCTAATTGGCTGTTTGGTTTACGGACCTGTTATGTCGCTTGTATTATAGTAGGGGAAAATGGTTAGTTACAAAGGTTTGAAGCTTCAATATGTATTCATATTAGAAATACTAATGGAACAACGTGATGAACTGTGACGAATCATATTTAAGCCGTGCATTTGAGTAATAGACAGTGCTGAGATAGAGTAATACGTTGATTGATCTAGGTATCTTTTGTAAGTGTAAAGTAACCTGTGTAATATGCAGAAACAAAATATGACGGTAAATAAGGATCTGCAGTATGAGCGAAGTAGATGTACTTTTGATCCTATCGAAATTACATATTTTTTTGATGGCAGTCCAGAGAAGATGGAACAACGTCGTAAACGAGGTATCGTTTAAAGCCTTTTTGTTTTTATGTGCATGCATGACGTTAAAACGTTTGACGGGCAAGAGTGATGGATCTCACTTTTCTTTCGCTGTTATTAAGAATTAGATAATTTTAATAAAAATAAATATTTTATTTTCTTACTTTTATAAAGATTATTTTTCATAAAATAGAACTTTGTTCATTGGCACGTCATTTATATGTACTAATTAATGTTTTATTTTCCTTATCTGCTGTCTCTTATTCCAACGAATATGAGTAAGATATAGAGAAAGTTAGTAAGCTTGTTTGACTTTCTCGGTTATTCAAATGGTTTTGTTCTCCAATATTTTCGGTTAAACGAAATTTTTATATATATTTTATTTTATTTACAATACAGAATTTTAACTGTAATCAGTTTTAGACGTGAATTGAAACTGGTTTTTCTCATTTTAATCCCTACAAATTTCGTGATTCACTGTAGATTTTTCCACTGAAAAATGATTTCGCAGGTAACGATATAGATTTTAACAATTAAAAAGACATTTTTCATGAAAATTATAGAACTTTCAATCGGAAAGTAGTACTGTAAATAGTACATCTGAAGTATACCTAAGAAAATGGTGAAAGTACATCTAAGTAGAAAATAGAAAAAGTTTTTTTAATAATTGATATCTGTTATATTTGCAATTTTTAAAATTTTTCAAATTTATTATTAAAATTGTCTTTCGAGGAATGTTTAATTTGCGATACTTGTTTATCTTGCAAACTTCTGACTTCATGTCAAATAAATGAATGTTTATAAAGATTTGTATTTATTGATCTAAATACGTATACTGCAAATCACATAAGTTCAATTATGTGTTAAACGGTTTAATCAATAATTACATAAAACGATTTCATTAATGAATAATTACTTATATAGCGTAATAACATTTATTGATATTAATATTCTGAATTACTAACTGCAAAAATTATTTTTTAATCAATGTTGTTACAGAAAAATTAAAAAATTTTTCAGTATTTTTATATTATTTAAAATTTACAAAAAAGTAAGAAATTATATATATTATAATATTACTAAAATTATAATTAAATTGTTATTTCAGATTATAAAATATATATTAATTAATTTTGACACTCTATCTACATAATTATATTACTAAAATTAGTTGCATAATTTGAAAATCAGTTTTAGAAATAAATAATTAATAAATAATTCCTCATTTAACATTTACATATAATTGCATCAACTACTATAAATTATTAGTGATGCAATTCGATTAGTTTTGTACCTTTTGACATAATTTTGTGTTGCTTACTTTCTATTTCTTGCTGTTAAACTTGAGGACCTTTTATAACTGCTTTTCCATAACTATTATGTTAAACATGTTATAATAAATATATTTCTAAATTGCAAATATCATACTAAATTTTTATATATTTCTAAATTGCAAATATCATACTAAATTTTTAAAGATATTTATTACCGCATAAATTTTATCAAGAGTCTTATATGAATTGGCTATAAGAGTATTTGCATTGCAAATATATTCTTCAAGTTTATAAATCAACAGTTTTTTGTAAGTGAATATTCAATAATTACTTATGCTGCATATTAATTTGTTTACAATAAACGTTTTGTGACACTATATAGTTTCAAATTTTATCATATATTTATAATATAATCATAATAGCCGTGTCTTAAAGTGCTGGTAAAATTTCAAAATGTCTTATATTTTTTTACGATTTTTTACGTTCTTCGTTCGAAATGGAAACAAAATAAATCTTCATATATATAAGGTGTTTTTTTACAAAAAATATAAATTTCTTAATATCTTTGTATGTATATACAATTTTTTAGTGTTATAATATCTTAATATTATATAATATTTAAGTAAATTATAATATAAAATTAAGCTTGAAATGGTATTTTTAAATACAGGAAATGACTACGCTATGTTATGTTTTCGTAACAATATTAATTTTATATGTATATATTCGTTGCAAAGTAACAAAGTTCGAAGTCGATTTAATAGAACAGATTAGTGCTTAATCATTTTGTCATTGTGGATAGTATAATATGTTTTTATCAGTTTACACTTTGAACAAGTTACTTCGACTTTGAGTTTTTGATAAAATCTGACAAAAGTTCACTACGCGAACATTAAAAAAATGTTGTAAACAGTCTCAGATTAACATTTAGATATTTTACTTTTGAATTTTATTTTTGGATAGTTTATAATCCTAATGCATAATTAATAATATATTATTGAATAGTCAATTAATTGTGTAATTTATTATTTATCAATTAGCGTTAGTTTTTTCATCATATTTTATTACTGTCTAATATTATCTTTTTATGTTGCATGTATACTTATCTATACGTAATAAGAATATCTTGTAGTAAATATTCAATTTTTAAGAGATAAATATTCATATTTACATATCTTTTTAATTATTTTAAGTATTTATGTTTCTCCTTTTTTCCATATATGGATAACGTTTATTAACATATTCACTGCCACATGAAATTCGTCAGTTGTAATTATTTTATTTTATTCTTCTAATATTTTTATTTTTTATTATTTTACATATTCTAATGTATAAATGTTGCAGAACGATACTTTTTGGACGATCCACAGTTAAAACAAAACGTACCATTAAAATTTAGAAGTCATAAAGAAGTATATGAAGAATCTTTACGCTCTGCGTGCAATGTGCTTAGCAAAGTTAAGGAATTGCAATTATCAGGAAAGGCGGGCATTGAACTTTATATGTAAGCTTTATTATGTAACTTTTCTATGTTAGTGCTATTGAATATGAAGACAATTATAATAAACAATTACATCAAGGAATAAATTAATTTTCTTCTACATATTTTGAATATTTCTTTATTAACGTTAAAAAATAACATTAGTAAAATATATCGAATCTTTAATTTAATTATTTAAAATTTTTGCAGGCATATCTTTGGAGCGAGACTCGGATCTGCATTGTTCCAAGATGGGAATCCATTGACTCTACACTATGCCATGTTCATTCCAGCTATTATGGGACAAGGCACTTCAGAACAACAAGAATATTGGCTAAGCAAAGCTATTAGTGGCGATGTTATTGGAACTTACGCTCAGGTAATGTGCATGTATAGACAAGGAAATTTATCCAAATTAAATCCTTACAAATCCTAAAGTCTGCAAATTAAATAAATTTGATCTTATTTTTCTGTTTTAGACTGAACTGGGTCACGGAACGTTTCTCAGAGGTTTGGAAACTACTGCAACGTACGATCCTAAAACGAAAGAGTTTGTCTTAAACAGTCCAACTTTGACATCTTATAAATGGTGGCCAGGGGGATGTAATTATGTCGTAATTATATCGTAATAATGTTCTTCATCAAAAGCATGATTTATTTATAATTTGATATTCCAGTGGGTCATACTGCAAATCATGCGATAGTTGTTGCACAATTATACATACAAGGAGAATGCAAGGGAGTTCATCCTTTTATCATACAATTAAGAGACGTGAATACACATGAACCTTTAAAGGGTATATATACATATTATTTAACCGTTTATAATTCATGTTTGATTGAAACGTGTACACTCTATTATTTTCCTAATTATCAAAAATACAAATTTTTTCACATTATTAATTTTTTTCTTTACAACTTAATGGTCAAAATGAATCTGTATTTAATTCTTAGGTATTATAATCGGAGAGATTGGTACAAAATTGGGAATGAACGGTACTGACAATGGCTTTCTCGGATTCCGTAACTTTAGGATACCTCGGGAGAATATGTTGATGCAGAATTCTAAGGTAAATTTTCATAAGATTACTGTAAGAAAAGCAAACAGTTCTATTTCTCATCGTTGAAACTGTTGCAAAATGAATAATATTTGATAATATACTTTCGTGAAGAATAATGATTTTTCTTATCTTTGTATCTTTTGCTTTTTCGCCAAATTCTTTTCTTGTGGCAGTGAACTTGAAAGGTAAATTATGTCTGTAATCTATTAAAATAGAACTGTCCAGAAATCGGAATTGCTATTGCAAATTATAGAACTACGTTACTTATTATAGGTGCTAGAAGATGGAACATATATAAAATCAGTAAATGATAAGTTAACATATGGTACAATGGTGTTCGTTCGAGTAATGTTGCTGCAAGATCTCCTACATTATTTAATGAAAGCTGCTACGATTGCAGTTCGATATAGTGCAGTGAGACGTCAGGGTCAAATAAATTCAGAGTAAGTGTTATTAAAAATAATTTTATGTAAGATAAAATGTTTTATGTTCCTTTTTTTAAAAAAATGAAATATAAATATTACTATAATATGACATTACATATGAACTATTAATTTTAATTAAAGAATTATTAATTTTATTTTTTCCGTTGATATTATATTATTCTTTTTCTTTTTAGAGAGTCAGAAGTACAGATTATTGATTATGTAATGCAACAGTACAAACTCTTTCCACATATCGCCACATGTTTTGTAATAAAAGTTACTTTTACTTATGTCTGGAATATGTATATTACCGTGCAAGGTGAATTGCATCAGGATGATTTTGAGAAATTACCAGAGGTTGCAGTCTTCTTACTAATATACTCTCTTCTACATCTTCGTGTCTTTGGTTTTACTAATTTTTTTTTTTTTTTGTCAACAGTTGCATTCTTTGGCATGTTGCTTAAAAGCAGTTATATCTGCAGACACAGCAGCTGGGATAGAACAACTTCGGTTATCTTGTGGCGGACATGGATATATGAATGCCAGCAATCTTCCAATAATTTACGGGTTGGCCACCGCAGTCTGCACTTATGAAGGGGAAAATACGGTCTTGCTTTTACAAACAGCTAGATACTTAGTAAAATCATGGAAACAAGCTTTGAATGGTCAGCTGTTACCAGAATCTGTAAAATATCTTAATGAAGCAGCGAAAGGAATTAAACAACGTCCTTGGAATAATGATTTAGAATGTCTTATTGAAGCGTATGACGCAGTAGCTGCAGGGTATGTAACTTGTGAATACATAAAATAATAACTAGTTGCAAATAGTTCTTGGAATTTTCTAATTTTTTGCAGTACTATTCGTTTAGCAACGGAAAATATTGATCGGAGGATACGTAATGGCATTCCCTCGGAAGAGGCCTGGAATCAAACTAGCATCGAATTATCTGATTGCGCAGTGGCTCACTGTCGAGCATTTATTGTAAAAACAATCGTTAAAATTTTTAAACAGTCTACCTCGGAATCCGATGAATTTCGCGAAGTATTGCTTCAACTTTATGAATTATATATAGTATATTGGATTTTAAGAAACTACGGCGCTTTTCTCCAGGTAACTGTTAATGTTTTTAAAAGAATAGGTAAAAAGAATAGGTAAAAATTTTTCTGATGAAGTTCGAATTACAATGAAACCATATTTTTTATTATATCTTGTTACATACTTTGAATTAATTCTCTATTTTTCAAGTTTTCTTCAATGAAAAAAGAGGATGTCCAAGTACTTCAATCGCGTCTGGAATATTTATTGATGATAATCCGCCGAAATGCTGTGGGAATTGTAGATGGTTTCGATATGGAGGATGATATTCTTTGCTCGGCTTTGGGTGTTTATGATGGTAACGTTTATGAACGATTGTTTGAAGAAGCCATGAAAAGTCCTTTAAACAATGAAACTGTGAACATATCTTTTGAAAAATATTTGAAACCATTCATCAAAAGCAATTTATAATGCGCGATATAAGCAAAATCTTAGTAAGTTATAATTATTATTTCAATTTCTTTGAAGATTTTACATTATCATAAAATGTATTTCTAATGAGAATTCTTCCTTTTCAAAGATGTTTTTATGTATAAATTTTAAAGATAATCAATGATGTTGTTTTAATTCAATTTATAGGATACAATAATTATATAGAAGAAGAATGTATGAATGTTATCCATTTTACTACGAGTAAAATGTTTGGCAAAAAAATGAAAAATATTTTTGTACGATTTTTATAATCGATTCTCATTGTAAGCGTGTCATTTATACAATGCAATAATTATGAACGAATTTTTAATAGAGATTTTATTTTTATAAGAATCATTTTAGGATGTACGATCATTCCATAAGATGTCTTAAATATTTTATGAAAAATGATATTTTCTATACAGTTTTTGCAGTTAGTGAAGTGATATTGAAATACAAAATGTCTATCTCTTTCATTCGACGTGCTTAAGAAAAAAAAATTGCATTTTAAAATTAATTTTTCTTATACGGCACAGTGTTTATTTACAGAATAGGAGCGACGACATACAGTACTATTCGTTATACTAACATAGTGCAATTATTGTTAATTTCTGTTAATAATAACATATTTCATTGACGTATAAACGCCCGCAATGCAAATAACACGTTTTGAAATGCAATGCAAATTGCGTTATCACGTTCTTGAACTTTGATCGATTCGTGTATATATAATATATCCAACGAGTGTGAACATTTGTAAAAAAAAAATGTGTATTAAATAAAATAAAATTGATAGAAATATATAATTCATGAAATAGAAATATTTCAGAAGAACAATATTTATATTTCTTATATTTCTGGAATATTGTAGTTCTACTTATATAAATATAAGTAACGCAACTATGAATAAATGACGTAATACATAAAAATACAAATTAAATTTTAAATAATTAACTTTTTCATTTTGAAAATAAATAACTAAATAGTATTTGCTGAGCCGTTGCTTTTATCATATATTTTAAGCGCAAATATTTGTTTTATTTGCACCGATTTGTTGGATATACTATAGATCCTAGGAACTTCAAGCACGAATCGATAAAATCGTTATAGATTAAAAATGTAAAATGTAAAAGTGTAAAAGAAAGAATTATAATTCGCTTGTTCACTAGCGGGCGATTATTATTATTATTTTTATTATTATTATTATTATTATTATTATTATTTATACAAATACATATACATGTATATACTTATATATGTGTTCATTGATCACGAATATATATACATATATATGTAATATATACTTTATGGAGCTCTGAGAGCGATCCAAAAGGGTAGGAGGGTAGACAATACTTATTCTTAAAAAATAATATTGTTAATTATCATTATTATTAAATATTATTTATGTTCATTTTTAAAATTATTATTCATTTGTCCACCTGGCCTATGGGTTTTCGTCTAGTGTTAGACAGACTTCTCGTTACTATAGCATTCTTTATGGAATATATCCTCTTATAAAATAAGATTTCATTACAATTAGTATTATTTCTTGTCGCACAGAACGTAGACAGCGCATTTTGAGTATTAAATGAGCCATATGGAAATCCAACATGCTCTTTTTACTTTCTTATCTTTTGTTGTCTAGGATTCTCGCGTCCAACATAATTTGTTTTTGATCGCGCCTAAATGCAAGAAATGCTGTAAGAAATTTCTTCGTGATTCACGAACAAATATATATATATATATTTTTTAATAAATTATTTTTCATATATGTATATCAATAAATTATATCAATAAAAAAAATTTTAATTTTTTTTAATTAATTATATTTAATTTGAAAATATTTATTCGTGAAAGGAAGAAATTTTTTAAATTTTTGCCTATTAAGAAAAAAAAAAAAGTTGTGTTGCTCCGTATCATCGCACGGAAAATTAAATTATTACGTAACAAACAATTCTCTTTACGTTGCGTACAATTATTATTACAATACAATAAAGATTATTATTCCGTCTCCATGTTTCTTTTTACCAGTAGTAAGAAAGGAAAAGAAATATTCAAAAAGGGGAAATCGAATAGCAAGAGAGGAAGGAGATTCGAGGAATTAAGATATTTTCGAAAAGTGAAGAAATGTATATATGTATGTATGTACTTAAGGATTTTCAGAACTGATTTGACGCGAAGAAAACACGTGACGAATGACGTATTTAACAGTAATTTTGACTAAGTTTGATAAATGAATTAGCAATCTGTAGTAATATAAAAAAAATAAATTTCCTTTTCAACGATTTATGAGTTAGAGGCAAAGCAGAAAATTCGTATGAATGTGTATATATTTCGCACAATTAATTCTTAGGTACTGCGGTCTACTAATTTTGGGAGAAATAGAAGAGAGAATTAATTTCCATTCTATTTATTGCAAGTAACTTATCCTAAACACAATCACTTATTCGGTACTTTATCGTACCGTAACTTTTCAGACAGTTTTGATCATTTTTACTTAGATATCGATAATTATTTGCGATCTTTACTTCTCACATAATTTGTATATCGAATAACCGCTTATTTATATGATTCTTCTTCCAAGTCGACCCTATCAATACACTTATTCTTTTTATTACTATCTGTTACGTGTAGAGACGTTTAGACACTTTTATAAATAAACCTATAAAATAGCTTCCAGTGATTTTATAAATCGATAAGATCGATTTAGAAGCAACGAGTGTGCCATTATCAAAATGCGCTGATCGATGGAATTTATCTGTCTCGATGAAAAACACACGATACCTGAAAACACTTAAATCGATGTCGTAAAAAATAATTTCCATAATGTATGATAAACACAACATGATGTTTATTCATTCTTTTTCTTCCGTCTGTTACAAGCTAATGGAATAAAAGTCGTTTCGTACGACATCGATTATGATGCATTGCGTTGGTTAAAAAAACGCTTTGCCCTTAACGTTCAATTATCGTTTTAAAGCGAAATGGAAAAGAAAATAGATAGATAGATTACGTGAATTTCAGAAAAAGAAGATCCAGGAAGAAACCGCGACTACGTGGAAAAAATATTACGACAGCTCTCGTAGGCAATTGGTGTTCCTTATGTAATTAATACATGGCAGTATCGACATGATATATTTTAGTTTACCCCGATACATCGGACTTTATAAAAATGGCGCCCGTGTTCCTCCTACGCAGGTAGAACACAGATTTATGGTAATCTTATTGTTTAAATAAAACTTTCGCGCGTTGAAAAATAGGATTCTAATAATTCTTATTTATTTACATGAGAAAATAGAAATTTGTGTGTCCACTGTTCTTTTTCTTTTCTTCTTTTTCAACTACAAATAAATGTGTTTAATATTTTAATTATTTCTGTGTCAGATTCTGCTTATATGTTTTAAGTGATGTTGCTTTATTTTATATATTGGTCGATACGGGCGATAATAAATGCAACGGTTCATGTACATAAAATTCATATTATTATTGCACAGGATATAATAGTGACATAACGTTATATATAAGATATTATAAAAGATATAACATCGTATATATAAGATTATTTATCAAGTATGGAAATCATTCACATTTATTCATTGAAAAGTTAACGTCAATTAATGTCGCGATCTAACAGGATAGTAAAAGATATCGCTAGATTTCTACGAATTGTTATCATTCGAAATTGGAGGGAACATGATGGAACAACGTATTCTAGATGGTGTGACTAAAAATTCAATCTACTAACGCTATGTTCCATTAATAATATTATTATTAATAATAATAATAATAATAATAATAATCCTAATAATAATAACGTTACAATGATTAATTTATTAGTTGTTTCTTAATAATTCTTTTTTTTTCTTTGCTTTAACAACTCCCTTCTTTCATTCATCAGCACAATCAAATGTCATCCTTTTTAATTCATAATTTCATTTAACAAAATCATACATAAAATCGTCTTTTTTTTAAAATTAATTATCGACGATTAAAACACTGATTGCGTTCTACCTGGAAAGAGGCGAACGTGACGCCGAAAACAGCTCAAATAATTGAGGAGAGGCGAGTTAACGATCCACAGGATCACTGAAAGTGTAACGGAGAATTTTAAAAAGAAAAAAAAAAAGAAGGATATGGGAGGAGAATTAGAAAGTGGGAATAGAGAAAGCAAGGAGAATCACTTGGTCCTACGTGGAAAAGTTAATAAATTATTACAACGTACTTCGCGATACTGATCGACCATAGGATAAATACCGCGGATGAAAATCTTGGAACAAATAGATATACACTTGTACGTGTGAATACCTTTCATTTTTAAATCATTTTTGTTTTTTTCATATGGCATACGCATGTCTCTTTGCAGTCGGAGATGAAAATCGTATGTACGTATATAAATCTGTGCGTGTACGCACGTTATATTCCTTTCAAGATTGGAAGAAGTAACGTTCTTGCATACACACGAGAAATTTAAACACCTTTTTCTTTTTTTGTTCTCATGGCAAATAGAATCTTTCTCGACCAGCAGAAGAAGCTTTTTTTCTTCTTAAGATACAAAATGTTTCTTAGTTGTTTTTAGGGTGGAAGAAGGGAATGATCGCGAGGATACATTTTGCTGTTTTTTGATAAAATGCAATCGATAAATGAATCTTCTTTTTTTTTTTCTTATAATGTCGTTCGTTTTGTTTTTTACGGAAGATCGACTGATCGTCGTCACTTGAGGTGCTTAAAATGGCACGCTGAGTTTTTTATCCACTAGGTGCGTGGCAATCGATACAACCGTGTTCGATGAGGACATTTCCGCTTGGAGGCTTAGCTTCAACCCCTATCGCGAGCGTAATGAAACACGCGTTTATTAATAAAACAGGTTTCCTGATTTTTAGCTGGGATTCATATCACTGGTTTTCGCGAGTTTTCGTAAGTGAATCAATAATTTAAATACTCTAATAAACAAGCACGATACAATAAAAATCTGGAGATTAAAATTAGAATTATTATACGGAATTCTAAGCCTAATTACTGATAGAGATATACATTTTATCTCATTAACTTAGAAATAAATAATTTCCGTACATATAAAAAAGTATCTTAGAGGAACATCGCAACTGCATTTGTGCCATCTGACATTTGTTCATTATATTAAAAGAAAAAAAATATATATGTATATTAAAAAAAAAAAAAACGGGATTCAATATTAAATAGTAAATTATTAAACGATTTCACGTAATTAAATACCGATATATGAGATTAGGAAATAAATTTTATGATTAGCATGATTTCAGATATAAATACTCGAATATACTTTAAATTCATCAATTTGTCAATTTCTTCTAAATTTCCTTTTAATTAATGAGTAACATCGTCTGTCCTTATCAAAATGTGAACATATTATAATCATTCGTTATAAACAATCCATTTAACTTACTAGATTATCCATTTAATTATCCTATATCGTATCTAGGTATATTAATGATTTTAAAAAAATTAAGAACCTTAAGTTATTTTTAGTATCTTCACCTATCATTTGTCCCACCGCCTAAGCTGATGCTATTCCCTAATTTTTAATTTCCCTTATTAGTACAATTCTACTGCTCAACCTAGGTCAAAATAAGTTACAGATTTCCTACAAAAAAAAAGAAAAAAGAAATCTCATGTCTCTTTCTCTTCTAGCAATCGTAATAGGCGTTGAGATTCCACAAAATTGGACTCGAGAAAAGGGAAAAGCGTCAATGGATCAGAGTCTCTGTGTCATACTGTTAAAAAGATTTTGCAAATCTGGTAAATAATTTGGAAACGATATATCGCAAACAGAAAACAAAAAGAAAGTAAACGAAAAACAGAGGAAGAGAGAAAAAAAAAGGGGGAAGGGAAGAAAACAACGGAGGAAACGTTGATAAACGAGGTCGTGGTTCATGGGATTGGCGTTGAAGAGAAATCACGGTGGCGCAACGATCCTTCTTCCTTTCCCTCCTTCCACCGGACCAGAATGATTAACGACATACCAGCAGCGTTTATCGCCCACGAATTTTCGCGTTCTCAGTTCTGTACAGTGTGGCGTGGCGTGTATGTACGCCTGGATACGTATACGTTTTGAAATACATGCTGTTTAAATGCATCTGGAATTGGCGCGACCTTGCCGACGAGTATTCGCGACGGGGAGCGCTTCATCAGTCGTCGCCCTTTTTCTTTCCTGCTCGATCAGCGCACGACAGTTACGGAAGAAAGACAAAAACATTCAACAATTAAACACCGAGTTCGTACGAAAGTATAAAATAAGTTAGAACCGAGAGGAAAATCGACGTTTTACTCCCGGAGGTGGACCAATGCTTAACACAGGGAACTACTCGCAGCGAGATGGCACGCGAGTAGGAAAATAGAGTGATGTGGGGTGTTAAGGGAGGTTCCACCTCAGAAAGTAACCTGTTAAATTAAAAACAGGCGCCTATTATAAACTATAGAATATTATATCGAAATGAGTAGATCGTTATAAAGAAATTGAGGCGCGTTTAGATGAATAGAAACGGAAGTATTGGGAAAGCCCCTGAACAAAAGGTTAGAAAGATATAAAGGTGACGCTTTTTCCCCGACGTGAAGGAAGTCTCTCTCTTTATGGTCAGTGAACGAGGTGTTTCGCAAGACACTCGTGGGAGATTCCGAATGTATCGTATCGTCGGCGGTGGCGCTTAATTCGGTCGAAGGACATCGTCTTTCTCGGCATGGTATCGTGGGACAAAACTGGGCGGTGCCAAAGCCAGATAAGCTTTGTCGCCTCAAGCATAGAATTCCCGATTGTGATGCGGCGCGCCGGGCTTAAGGAACGCCTGCGCCGCCGGTGATCTTCTTGGCTCATCAAGGGCGTATGATCCCTCGTCCTTCTTGCGCATCCTATATACGATGAACATCACCACGAGGATTGCGCAAAGTAGACCAACTACTGCGCCACCGATCACCGCTGCAAAAGGTTGTTTTAATTAGCGCAAAATTTTAAATAAAAAGAATCGTACAAAATACATAAACAATATATAGAATTGCTTAATATTATGCTTACATTTTAGCTGATGAATAAGGGTGAGAATAAATGATATCACTTTGCAAATATAATTAATGTCTGTACAAGGGAAAAAGTAGTTGAACTGTTATTATTAACGTAATTTTACAAAATAGTATGTCAATAAATTTCTCAATTATTTTGCATTATATTTTTCATTTATTTACTTAAAATATTATTTTCTTTGTTTCTTAACTTATTCCTCTTCAACAGTAAATTTAGTGTTAACTAACTAGTAACTGACTAAAGAAAGTCTCAAATCTGAAATATCTTAAGTAGCCGTACAAGCAGCAGCAATTCATTATTCAGCGGCGTTAAACCATTCAGAGTGTTAATTATGTAACGCATTTATTATGCGTGGCTCCGGATAAGTTAACTTAACCCAGAATTTCGTCGGAGTTGCAGAGTTCTCGTGAATAAATACCGTTTCCGTGGAATGTTGATTCGCGTGTTGCCTTTATATTTCAAGTTTAACACTAAGGGAATGCGTTAATAAATAACGTGACCCCCTTGTAGTTTTGATTCTGTAAAGCACTCTGGTTTTCAAAGCGACTCTGTTTTACCAATTCTACCGTGATTGAATTATTTTGCTAGCGTGCAACAAATGTTTGAAACATAAAAAATTCTGTTATACATAGTCATAGTACTGAATGCAGTTTACTATTTGGAAAAACATGGAACTTTCAAATGAAGCACGTATTCTAAAACTAATTGTAAGAGAAGTTAATTCAAATTGAAACATGTTCCTTAAAACGTTAGTTACACATTAAAAATATTACTACTTTAGGTAATTAAAAACTATAAAAAAATAGTATGTCATATATGTATAGTAATACAATTATATATATATAGTAAATAATTATATATACATCACAATTTATAACATTGCAATAATGTATTTGAAGATTCTTTCAAAAATAACTATAACTTAAGTCTTTTATGTGAATTTATTCAGTTATTCAAACAGAAATTGCAGAATATTTCAAATTAGTCTCAAATCTAAGAAAAACAGTAAAAAAAATAGAGAAAAAGCAAACTTACCTGCCAATACACCTGGCTGAGCAAAGAAAGAGCTGGCACGGTCTTCGTGTTTCGGGTTCATGATGTACACTTCGTGGATGTCGTCGGTGTTGTCCGAGTGGTCGTCCTCGACATTTAAGGGCTCGATTACATCGACCTCGTTGTCGGGTCGGTTTACGGGCTCGACGATCGTCTGCAATGCGATACCGTTTAATCAGTTTAATCCGTTTAATTCGGACGTTCGCCAAGAGGTGTTTTCAAACAAATCTAATAACCCGTCTTAATGCCCACGCGTTTCGGTGGGTTTTCCCTTTGCGTAGAATCAGGGGGAAGAAAGGTGTATTTCGTTGTTAAACGGATCAATGAATCATCAGTGTGGCTTTCAACACGTTCAAAGGTATTCCATTAGACTTAACATAACAAAATAATTAACTTAAATAATCATTCTTGGCACAATTGTGTTTCTCAACTGTCAAAGAATTTCTTCAAAGTTTCAAGAAAATGTGATAAGTTTGGTAACTTTAGAAAGATGGTTTGACACAATAGTTTGGGAACTACGTCGATAAATTAAAAGATTTTTAATCCCGTAGAAAGTATCTTGACAGGGGTTCGCAATTAATCATAAAAACTTCAGCCATATTCACCTGTTCCTTATTTTTATCACTTGGTTCGTCAACGGAATATGGTGTTTTTGGTTCTGCCGGCCTTGGAGGCGGTGGTTCTATCCTGTTATTATTACTAAAATCTGTAAGAGAAGAAGATAAATAATAATTCGTTACTGCCGTGTTTTCTAAATAAAATCTTTACACAATTATTACTTAAATAAGAACGATAAGTGGTTATTTCAATCACGTCAACATGTATTTATTAGACTGCGGGTTTACACATTTATGGGAAATTTCAAAGATGAAATCAAAGATGATCTCTGAGAACGACCGAGAGATCAGATTTGAAGGGGGAGCGATAAAACGCTGAGAGTGTCCAGCTTGGCAATTTTGAAAACAAAAAATGGAGACAAAAAAAGTGGAAATGTTTCTGGAAATCGCGTGATGTGAGCATCGTTGGTGTGTTATATATACAATGCATTCCACGAGCTGGATTTTTATTGAAAAATTTCCAGCAAAACGGAGAGGGACGCAACTCTTTGATACTGTCGATCTCTGGTTGGGGGACTGTCGATGGAATCCGTACGGATCAGTAGCTTTTCGAAAAAAAAAGCCCCGATGGAGCTCGATTGTTTCGCCAAAATACTCAAATTCTTTTTTCTCTGTTGTCTCTAAACTGAAATACTCAGAGTGGAAGTTAACCGTATTCTAGTTCGATTTGAAGTTTATCAATATTGAATTTCTTGGAATTACCACACAGAGAAAATTAAAAACGAAGCCGTTTTACTTTTGTAGATTTCTTGGAATGATAATTTCATTATAACTGAATTTTCTATAACAATAGAGTTGATAATTAATGTTACATGCTTTAACGTGAAACTTCGATGTACAATATTAGATATTTGAACGACGAGCAAAATTAATACATTTTTATAAACTTTGGGATGAATAAAATTATATAGAATATACGTTAAAATGTAATTTACCGTGATCGTCGTCGCCGTCCTCATCGTCCGGACCAAGGCCACTTCCGGATGCTTCAGTGTCGCGACCTTCACTGCCTCCTCGACCAGAACCCTCTAAAAATTCCTGGTCGTCCAAATAGATATCGTCCGAAGAATTGTACGCCGAATTCCCTGCCGCTGTCCTCTCTTTTTCGTTTTGATTCTTCTGGAATAGAAGAAACAACATTTCTTATATTTCTATTCAAATATTCTTTCTACAGAAAAAACTTATATATACATATATAAAAAACTTTATTTATGTTAATATGTTTCTACAAGCGTAGAACAATATTTTATAGATTATTTGTACATATATAAAGAGAAGATTAAAAGATCGTTATGAAAATAAAAAAATAAGAGGAACACAAGAGAACCATATAGGCAGCATCGCTTTGTCTCATGTTTTTTGGGTTCTTTTTATACTTCGACGAAACTCTTTGTACCCCAAAATAGATTCCATTTCTGTAGACACGTTCGTCTGTTCTGGTATCAAGTTACCTTACACAACGTCGGTGTTGTGAAGACATCATTTTGTAGCGTCGTGCATAACAAGAGAAAAAGCACAAAAAAGAAAGTGCCATTTTCTTAACTTATGCTTCCCAATAAATTGAACAAATTCTTAAATACTTTGCTATTAATTTATATTTTCATGTTAATTCTTAGTTGATGCGATGAATAAAAATTTTCCAGAGAAAAATATAAGTTACAAACTATGATTCAAGATTCAATTTAATTTTTATAATATACTACCTTATGTCTTAATCTAATTTTTCTTTTATTTTCAGCTCTGCAACTTAAAAGATAATTATAGTTTTACAACGTATGTAGAAAATCATCCGTATTGCTTATTAATAAGATAAGTAATGAAATCGATATAAAATAAAACATTGGAGGATGCAATGATTAATAACAGTAAACCTGCGGAACACGTCAAGGAAACTTCAAGCGATAGTTTCCGGTTAGTCAACGGTACTGGAATGCTAGAGTGACGTGCAATAAAGTCCAGAATAACAAATGGCATTGTTATCGCGATTCCCTATCGATCCGCGATATCTCTTCATTTATTCATTTCGATCAAAAATATTTTCGATATTTCTTGATTGAATTGAAATTGATTTGCATAACAAAAGAGTATACGATAAATTTTTATACCTTGCCGTTATACATTTTTCGTTAATAATGCAAGTTAATTATGTCTTGTTTTTTTTATTCGAGGATATATAGTAAAAGAGATAACTGAAGGCCAGACGTAAACTTTTATAGAACTTATTCGTTTCCTTTTAGAAACAAGTGAATTTTCAAAACTTAATCTATATTTTCGACAATTTATCATGTTCCATTAGTCATCGAGCGTTATAAAAATTAGAATATCAATGAAAACAGACTTTTCGTAGCATTTTCATGTCAATCTCAAATTGTCATCGATGACTTCTTTTGCTTTTCCGAAATAATCGAAATAAGCAATTCCGGGACATGCATAGTCTCTCTCTGAAGCAGTGACACGGGCGGGAACAATTGAAAGAGAAGCACAAGTGCACAGGATGTTGTTTATGTACACGTTGTACAATCAAATAGAAACGAGCAGCCGACCAAATTCTCGACTACCAAAATTTCGAGCATTACTAAAGGAAACTAATTACGCCGTTACGAAAGCTGTCATCTGGTGCATTCGTGTTTACACACGTACGTAGACTGATCGTTTAGTTAGAGTAGAGAGAAGAGTATTCGTAGAATACATGGCAATATTATACGTACTCGATCGTGTAATAGATTTTCAAACGAAAACCTGTTATACGATCGATACGGAAAATAATTTTAAAACTTATTAAAATTTTATTTACATATATTAATAACAGTTTTAATTATATTGGGCGATTGAATGGAAAATTCGTGCATTTTCACTTATTACATTTCACCATGTTGTTTTCAAAGAAACTAAATTATTTAATCGACGACGTGTTAGTTTTTACTACTTCTTTATCAATTTAATTGTAACATATATTTATGAGAGATATATGTATGTATATATATAATAGTAATACCAATATATGGTACTATATATAATACCAATAAAACTATTAAAATATTTTAATATTTGTACGTTATCGAATAATGTTAACAAGAGATAGCTATCAATTACAGAAATAATTTCAATTTTTTTTACCGGTAATCTTTTACAAAACTTTTTTAATTGAGAGCAACTTAAACTTCGCCGCGGTTTTAGCATATCGATCTTAATGTTAATTGAAAGAAAGGAAAATATGAAATTCGGTAGAAGTAGAAACTGAGCAGAATAAATAATGAAACGTGAGAATCGCTGCGAACAAAATTGGACAAACCTAAAAATTAGATAAATAAAACATTAGATAAATATCGTTTAACGGAGTAATTGTTTTATTAAATTTCGAATGCTCTGTATTATAATAGAATAGAAGATTATATAACAGAGAGAGATGCATGGACAATTTAGTCAAATTATTAACTGAAACTTGAAAAAAGTCAAATTTTAAACAGGAGGATGTTCCGAAAGAAGAATCGTGCTTGAAAAAAAAAATCCTTCAGCACACAATCCTGTATCGCAGCAATTCTCTCTCACGCCAACTAGAAATCGTTTCACAAAATCTGAAACCAAAGTCAAACCTTCATTCAGCAATATGATATATATATATATATCTAACCAGTCCATACCAGTCACAATGTCACTAGATAGCGCACTTAGGATTGCACAAGGTTGCGAGAGCAATGTCCGCGACCAATGCACCGGGCGCAGGTGATCGTGCGTACGGATACATCGGCGAGCGTATCTCTCTCGCAGCTGATCGATAACACGAAAATTCGTCCTCGTCCCGGGGCCAGGTTACTCACCACGTTGAAACAATAACACGCAACGCTAGGCCTGGCCTAGCCTCCATCCGGAGAGACACGGCTGATTTTCCACGCGTATATTTCACGCAGCCACGGCCACACGCACACCGGATCCCCTGCTTTCTCCCTCGACTTTTTTTTTTTTCCCACCCACCTCGTCTACGGAAGAAACGCAAGAATTGCGCGGGCGCGCGATGTTATCGACCTCCTTCGCGCATTCTGCCGCATTACGCGTTTTTTCCCCTCTTTCTGTTTCTTTTATTTCCCCCTCCCCTCCCCTTCACTCCTCTCTCGCGTGCCTCATTGTCACCGGCCTATGGAGAAGCGAACAATACGGCCGTGTTTGCATGCAAATGACTAAAGGCTAAGGTCAAGGCTCTTGGAATCCACTTTGGATCCCGCCTTTTTTTTTTTTTTTTCTTTGGTCATAATGCCGATTTTCGCGGCAAACGTGACGAACGAATCTCTCTGACGAGAGAGTCAGCCGGAGGGTTACTTACGAGACTCGTGGATGAAAAACGATGGCGTGTGTCGGTGATTTTTAACGGCTGTGAACGAGAAGTTTTCGGCAGATAAGACACGATATGCTTTTGAGGCAAGCGGCGACTGCACTGACGTAGTACAGGGTCGAGCCTGTAGACGGCACTGCTCCAGGCTACTCTATATAGCTCCTTTAGATATAAAACGGGAGGACCTGGCCAGGACCGTACCACCAGACGCCCTATATAGTTTTATTTCAATTCTCTTACTTTCCCCGATGGTCGACAGTGCCATCTTCTTAATTAATCGCTCCAGAACGAGTTCGATATTCTATAAACTGAACGTACTCGCCGGAGTATCTCTGTACCTTACTCGCGAGATCAAATGGAGGGGAAATGTTTGAAATTTCACAGAATCTTTCTCTGCGCTGTGAATAGGCAATTTTTTTTTTATTCGGAATATCTTTCCAAGTTTTTTTCAAGTGTTTTTATTTCCAATTGTATATGTATATATCGTACAATTATATAATATTAATATATTATTACATTATATATAATATATATAATATTTATATATATATATATTATATTATATATAATATAACAAATATATAATATTAATATAATGTATTAATATTATATATTAATATATGTATATATCGTACAATTATATAATATTAATATATTATTACATTATATATAATATATATAATATTTATATATATATATATTATATTATATATAATATAACAAATATATAATATTAATATAATGTATTAATATTATATATTAATATATGTATATATCGTACAATTATATAATATTAATATATTATTATATTATATATATAATTATATTATTATATAATATATATAATATAATATAAAAAATATATAATATTAATATAATGTATTAATTGTATAATATATTGTATATAACGTATGTTTATATTTTTTTCGCGTGCACAAGCAGGAAAAATTCCGAAGAAGTCGATACACAATAGGGAAATATACAGTAAGTCGCACGATAAGACGATCCATTCGATTTCACGTCGTGAGATATTGAAAATCCACCAGGCTCGGTCAGAGCGCGCGACCATACGCGCATCTGTATCTACATGTGTCGCGTTCTCACAGTCGGCGATGCGTATATTCGAATAGAATTGGAATCTTTCATATATTGGATCGAAATTCGTATATCTTAGCTCGTCGTGTGCCGTTTCCTTAGATCGATCCGTTCGCTATCGACGTTGCAGCTGTGCTCTCGCGTTTTGTCTCGCGTGTGTACGCAGCTTGCTACATACGGAGCAAGGCAACACTGGATATTTGAAAGAACAATGAACTTCCGTCAAAGCTAATATCGCACGATGAAACGAATCAAACGTTGTCCTCGTGGGAAGACCAAGCTGTCAAAAATATACTCGCGCAAGATCGTTTCGAAAAACAAAATTCGAAAGCAAAATCGATTTTTCGCTCGCCAAATGGAAAAAAAACTGTTCGGTCGATCAGATCAGTCGACAGCTGTTGGTGAATGAAAACACAAATTGCGCCCATTATTTTCCGATAATTGATGCGTTTCCAGCAAAACACACGGGGCGTGTTATCCATAAAGCGCCAACACGGCGAGGCTAATTGCAAACGAGTTCGTTTTAATCCTAAAACGACATTGGCCGTATATGTACGCGTGACTGTACGAAAGTGTTCGAAACATTTGTAAATGTCTTTCTTTTTTTTGAAATTTCAAAGTTTTCTACGGTAAGCAAATACTTTCGTGAAACATTGCAGATTCGAGAAAAGCAAGATGAGATCTTCCAAAAATATATAATTTCTATTCTTTGATCATCAGCATTGTTATTAAATAAATATTACTTATATTTAATCTCTACACACACACACACACACATATATATATATATATATATATATATATATATATATATAGATTAAATATAGGTAATATTTATTTAATAACAATGCTGATAATCAAACAATAGATAATTAGACAAGCTAACGAAGATTAACAACTAATATACGCAGTTACAACTTAGATAAACTTTTTTTTTTTAATTTTTAATATATATATTATTATTATAATATAATTTATATAATTTAATATATATATTAGAATATATATATATATATATATATGTGTGTGTGTGTGTAGAGATTAAATATAAGTAATATTTATTTAATAACAATGCTGATGATCAAACAATAGATAATATTTAAATAAACTTTTTTTTTTTAACAACTCAATCAACTCTTTCTTTAAATTCAAATCGACTCTGTTTTTCACTTGTTCGACTCTCCAAACAGAGAAACTCACGCCTCTCTCACCACATTCGTACTTTTTCTTTTCTTTTCTTTGCATCCCTACGATCAGCAAACATTACAGGTCATCTAGTATAATTAAAGATACTACAAGTACAGGTTAACATAACTTAACAACGAGCTACGATAATGACCTACGATGCTACATGTACATTTGAATTATTGACGTTTCATTTAATGTTAATCTCTAATGTTAGAATCGTCGAAGATACGCAGCAGTGTAGTTCTAGGATAGAACGATTTAAATGTTTTTAACAACCATGAATGAATTCCTGTAACAAGAGAACAGTTAAACCGACCGATTACCGACGAAGTTGGTTTACTCGGGGAAAGCAGAGGGCTTGTTCGCGTACTTGCAGAGGAGCGCCTGGCATGCTTCTCCAGGCGAACTTCCTGGACGAAATTTCAACCGATTAGATTTCGTTCGGTTCCCAGTACGCGGGAGATCGATCCTTCGAGCCAGCAAAGGGAGCAGAAACGGTTCATTAAGTGCGTAACAGAGCAAATACAGACACCGAGGAGGAGAACGGGAGAAATGGTAGAAAGATAAAACGTATCTCGGGTAAATGAGAGAATAAGTGCGTTCGCATGAAAGAAGGGAGAAACTCGAAGTGGCGGCTTGTTTTTGAAAATTTCGTTTCACGCTCGATGAATCGCTGTCTGAATCGCATCACTGGAAAATTTCACGTTTAAGTTGTCATTGTTATCTTTCATACGCGTTCGTTTTTCTTTCTTCTTTCGTATGCTTGTGGAAACACGTTCGTAATTTTTAAGTTACTATATGCTCATTTATACGTGGTAAATTTTATCCCATCGGCAGCAAAAGAAATCGATTTAGGTTAGGTACTTTTCTTTCGATTCGATCTTTACGCACGTGTGCGCTGGCACCAACACGAAGTTGCGATTAAAAATTTCATTTCCGTGATATTCAGACAGAAAATTTATTTAAAAAAACACTAGATATTAATAAATACGAAAAACATTTAATTTCTAAATATATATTTATTTTTTTTATTCGACAAAAATAATAATATATTCATATATATTTAGATCATTTATTTTCGAGATAATTAAATTATTAAAATAAATTAATTAATCCTGATACAAAAGGTACAAATTACATTTTACTTATTATTTTTTTAATAATTTCATTTTCATTATTCTAATTATAAATAATTTTATTAATTTTAATTTTACTATAAAATTTTATTTATTTATATTTTAAATTAATAATCATAATAAATAAATTTATATTTTTAAATAAAATTTTTAATTAAAATTAATTCTATTTAATGTAAATAAATAATTTTTTATAAACTAAAATTTTTTATCTAAAAATACTTTCCAGTACTTTTACTTATTCTTTTACTTATTATTATTAGTATATATATATATATATATATATATAAAATTTTTATTATTAGTATATTATATATATATATGAAATTTTATATAAAGATATATATATATATAAATTTATTAGTATATTATATATATATATATATGAAATTTTATATAAAGATATATATATATATATTATTAGTATATATATATATAAAATTTCATATATACATATATATATATATATATAAATTATTATTATTAGTATTATATATATATATACTATATTATATATATTTTTTAAAATGATATACATATATACATAATATAATAATATATATGTATATATTTTATATATATATTTTTTTAATGAAACGAGCTGCTAATAACGTTAATGATAATTTACAATAATGTCAGGAATTTCTTCTTTTTTCACAGCATGTCACGATGTAATTGTATCTGTTGTCCATCGTTGACAATAATTCATAGTCGCGCGCAATTATTCATAGAAACGTTCGACACGCGGCTCATTGTTTCCCCATGACATTAAAATCGCTCGATTGGAATCAGTCGATTCAATTAACAGTGGCAAACGGCAACGCGAGAGCTATGGTACTTGTTTGCTGTTTTTCTATCGGGTTTCACT